GGGTCATTTCACCCATGGAAATGGTTGATGGGCATGTTTCCTCGCTCTCATTCGTTACAGATGCTCCAACAGCTAACCAATTCTCTACAGTCATCACTGGTGTAATTACCATCATATTCGGGGGCTTAGTATACTTGTTCTTTCCTGATAGCCCCCTGCACGCCGATTTTTTGACTTACGAGGAACGAGCTCAAGCAATCTTGAGGATAAAGGGCAACAATTCTGGTATCGAGCAGAAGCAATTCAAGAAACATCAGTATGAGACATGAAATATACAAATTAATTTTCCAGAATCTAATATTGGCATTTCAGATTTATTGAAGCCATCAAGGACCCAAAAACATGGTTGTTTGCTCTACATGCTTGGTCTCAGGAGATGGGCAATGGCATTAACAATCAGACTTCATTGATCATCAACTCATTTGGCTTCACAGTTTTCCAAACTACGTTGCTTAGCACTGTCAGCGGAGTTATAGCGTTTTTTACACTCTCTGCAGCTGCAATTACGCTACACTTTACCCGAGTGAGTTGTGTCGTGGGTTTTAGTTTCCTGCGCATACGTATTAATTAAATCACCAGAACTCCCGAGCATGGATATCACTCATCGCATACGTACCTGCTGTCATATCCAGCATACTATTGTTAGGTATTTCTCAAAGGTTTCTGTCAATGGTGTATATGTGTCTAATCTTCATGATAAATAGCTCTCCCATGGTCTAATCGCTGGGGCCTCATAGTGGGTGTCTGGCTACGATACACAACTGGTGTACCCTATGCTGTTGTAATGATATGGGCAGCAAACGCATCTGCTGGACACACCAAAAAGACTACAGTTATTGCTCTCTATCATATTGGATATGGATTGGGAAACATTATTTCGCCCCAGCTTTTTGAGCCCAGATGGAAGCCTCGATACAAGCCCACCTGGATCATTTTGCTCGTTGTATGTATTGGTGGCGACATCAGATTCGAATCAGCTAACAGATGATAGGTTGCTGCTATTCTCCCTTCCATCATCATCATTACTCTTCGCATATATCTCAGCCGCGAAAATAAGCGACGTGACAAACTCGAGGCAGGTAATGTTGTAGCCAACAACGGTCTCGTCGAAACGACAAATGCCGATGGAACTAAAGATGTTCGCGTGGTGGACACTAACCAGCTGGACTTGACGGACAGAGAGAATCTGAAATTGTAAGTGAATAAATATTGGGACCTGAATTACATTGGAAGCTAACTGAATCTAGTCGGTATGTTCTGTGAATACGCAGATATAGTCATTCGGCTTCTCTTAAAAATTTCTCTCAGAACTATTTGTTGCCAAGAATTCATGTATCAAAGTCTCTTTGAACGAAATTAATATTCCATATAATGTCAACCAAGTGATCTGTCAATTGTGTTGCTTGTGTTTCTCATACAAATTGCATATGCCACACTACTATAGCGCTCATTATCAGGAAAACCGTTATGGTTGATCAACACATACCCACCATCGTACAAGTTACATATTGTAACAAAATAACAGCCGGCTTCACTTGAATCAACTTACAAGAGCCCGTAACTCTTTGAATGATATAGGCGGCGTGTCAAACTATGAAAGCCATGATCATGATAGAAAGGGAGGGCGCGCGCTTTCCTTTTGGGGTAGAGCTCTACAGCGCAAAAGAAAAAGAAGAAAAAATCGAATTCCCAAAGGCCGCTATTTTCACGATAGCCTACTAACTTGATCAAGTTAGCCAGCTCCTTATCCTGTGAAAAGCCGGGTTTAATTCTGGAGATATCCACTGCCCAAAGTTTCGAGGCAACACGGTTTATAGCTAAATAGCCTGTACCAATCTCGCTCCAGTATAAGCTTCGGGCCCTTAGACGGAAAAACGTCACAGCAATTGACGGAAAAATACGGCAGCAATTAGATACAAAGACGGAAAAGCGTCCCAACCATTTATTCAAGTCCCAGTGATCTGATCTGACCCATTGTATTTCACGAATGTATTATTTTACTGTTGAATAGCAATTTGATTGGATATGACGAACAATTACGAAGGTCTATATACAATATTGTACAAGCTGATGCGGAAATAGACTTGTGTTTCCCGAGATACAGGTTTTCTCATTTAGTAAAAGTCTCAACGGCTCTCACGATAAAGTCAGCCGTCTCCTTTGGCTTGCTGAGCATTGGCGAATGACTCGTGTGGATTTGTTCAACAATAATATCACCCCCTTGTTGCTTGGCATTCTCGGCAATGCCCAATTGAACCTCCGTCGGGAAAGTTCTATCGTCAGTCGTGATCAAGTATCGAGTTGGAACATCTTTCCAGCCTGAGTATACATGCTCCCCATTATCTGTAAGGGACTTCAAAGAATGCGGCAGCAGTCGGCTGACCCAATATTTGCCTTCTTCTTCTGGGAGATCGTGGTAGAACAGCTCCCTCGTATCAACTATCAGCGTAGCAAATCCCGTATCGGTATCTGCTCTCCAAAATGGGGGCGGGTTGCCACCAATTCCTTCAAGAAAACCAACGCCTGTAACACAATAGCCAGTCGCCATCATGGCAATGCCAATGACACGTCCAGGCCGCTCACTTGTGGCTTCAGTCAAGCCCTTGATAGCGCTTGGGCCGACCATTCCGCCGTATGAGTGAACTACGACCACAACATCTCGGCCTTGAGTAACCTCAGCCAAAATAGCGTTTCTGACCTCTTGAATGTCGTCGAATATGCCCTTCGTTGGATCAGACCGGGTTGAGGGATGAGAGGTACAGATTGTCTTGTAGCCCTGAGGCTCCAACTCAGCAGTAAGTTTGTTCCATGTATCAGGGCTGTGCCATGCTCCAGATACAAAAATAAGGGTAGGCTTGGATGTCATTGTTGCTGTAGAAATAAAATTTAGACTGGAACACTAGGAACAAATATTATTGAGTGATCGAAGAGTTGTTTGACTTCTTCTACGAGCAACATGGTCCGCCCTTTATAAGGCCATGGTCTAGTGCCAAGTAATACTGGTCTAATTTTAGAGTCCGAATCTTTTTCGTACTGGTGATAATTTTCACCATACCACCTCCTAAACTGGATCCAATCTGATACACTGGCGACGGATTTACTTGATCCACATTTGGGATATTTCCGAGGGAATACGGCTGCACTACAACTCATCTGAATAGGCATATAATCCCGTTACCGCCGATTGACTGAAATACGATCAAATTCATATCAGAATTGCTCATGAATTGCAGAGCGTACAAGATATGGCTATTGAAACAGCCATTTACTTTGATTCGAACTTAACGAAAATTCTTAGATAATTGGCCCAGACGAGATCAGCGCCATAATTCAGGGTCATAATCATTTGCTGATTGGCACTGTTATAAGGCTTCAAAATGATAAACGAGTGGATGGGACGTTACGCTGTAAGCAATTCTTGAAATGGGGACCCTATTCCATGGACTATCGGGAACCTGATCGTTCCCGAGTGCGAATGAATTTGAACGTTTTTAGTATGTAGCTTGTCCCGTTTTGAGTCTTTTGAGTGCGCACTTCGGACCTCGTACTTGGCCGAGGCGTCGGCTGGGCTTTGAGTCAGGCGAGTCAGCCAGCCATTGGAATTTTTTCATCACATATCATGATACGCCCGAATAGGAAATCAATCGCGACTTTTGGCCTATTTATCCCGAGGTATCTCTCAATAGCGTTCTGATGACCATTGCCGTATTACGGCCCTGCTGACTGGGTGTTTAAACATAGACGTTGAAGATACGCCTTGGTCTCACCGGTGGATGAACCCTGATTATCATCAGGCCAATTGGTCCAAAGATGATATAGATGTGTAAAATTACACTGAAGCTCGTTTACATCATCAATTTTGATGAGTGCATTGACCTCATTTCGTCTACAAGTCTCTCTGTATCACCTGAGATACAAGTCTGTCTCTTTCTGCACTCTACACACGGCAGATAAAATCCCGCAAATAGAAGTTTTCTGGCGCTTTCTATCCATTTAATCAGAAGATGCCTGTTGCTTAAGATTGGCTAAGTATACTCAGTAGACCTCAACTTAATGAGAATCAATGTACCTAGTAGCATGAACGCTTGACGCGTGGTGAATGTCAAGCTCAAAGTTGACCCACGTCGAAGATGGCTTGGATCCCGCGGTAAATAGTCGCTGGTAGATCGCTTGCTGACAAGACTCGTGGCACACGTACAAGTATATGAGTGGCAGGACGACATTAACGTTGTTCCGTAGAGGATACCTTGGCTTTACTGGCGCCGTTTCTGGTTGAAACTACTCCCGCCCTTCTTCCCGCCCATCACTGTGTTGCGTTTTACAAATGTTTGTCCTACCTGTAGAATAAAGCCTTATAGTAAGTTACTCAAAGTGAAATCAACGGGCAAATGCCGAGTAAATTAAATGAAAATAGCGGTCAAAATACAGTAAGCGCTGCAATTGAACCCCCCAGCTCTTTGACCCGATTTTTAACCTTGTTTTTATGCTGTTTTGGTTGTGATTATCATCATTACAAAATTAGGCAACAACAGAAAGTCCCCTTGGAACTCATGATGTTGTACGTAAGTACTTGTTAGTATGAGGCACTTGACATACGGCGTATACTATGACTGATTAAGAGTAGTTAGACTTAACTGGAAACTAGTTTTTGAGTCTGGGTACACCAGTACATTCATTTCTTTTTTTATTTTCACTTAGTCATTATTATCGTTTGTCTTCTATTACTTGTCAAGATTTTATTTTACAATTGCCCTGACTGAACTGAGTAACTACAGGAAGGCCCTGGGAAAATCATATCATTCTATAAGCACTTTGCTTTGGTCAATTGTTATTAATCTGTGTAACTTGTATAGTAAGCTATGTCTAAATATACACATATAGTGTCTGAAATTCTATATAAATCTTGCAAAAATACCAAATTATCAGTTTTACAAAACATTACCTACACATTGAAGTATCTAATATCCAATCAGTAGACCATTATTTACTACATTGCAACCATGGCTGTAACGAAATTCCTGCTTATTGCCATTCAACTTATAGGAGTACTCTCTACTCCGATTGCTGAACCTAATATTACAGACATATCAGAGTAAGTGACTGTCTGTCATTTAAGATCTAATACTAATAGTCAATAGCAATAAATTTTTTGCACGCAGCTCCTCAACTGTCGAGGAATATCCATACTCGAGTAACTGTGATGCAAGCACAGGATCTACATTCACGTGGGATGTATCTCATGGTGGAGGTCCGTGCTATTCTTACAATGGAAACACTGATGTATACTCCCTCAGGGTGGCTTGTAAGTTATGCCTCTAACATCTGTACAGTGACTGTGAGAAAAAGAAAACTGAAAAGTGTTTCTATTAGGGAGTGACTATAATGTATGCAATGGTAATACGGCTGTTATTTATATGTTCCACAACGGTTTCTACTGCGGTGATTTTGCACAAGCGACAAGGGTATACGCGGGATCTAATGGAAACTTCTGTGTAAGCAATGGTGGGAAAAGCATTAAATCATGGAGCCTTGGCTGCGAGGCACTTTGAGAAGATGTCTTTTAATTTTTTATAAGTTTGGCTATGATATGGGTTTTTTTATACAGGATTTCCCCATATCTCTATGCAAATGCAGTAGCTATGTTCATTTAGTTAATGCTCGTTGTATAATTAAACAGTCTTGTTTATATATTTTTTTATATTGTCCGCGTTCCGGTTAATCATGGGGTCAATGCAGCATGAGTCTTCGAAGGACTATTAGATCCGTTCCAGTCCTACTCAAATCTCTTCTTCTCTGCTCACCAAGTGCACAATGCCATGTCTTATGGTGAGCACGACTGAAGTGTATTACGATACAAAAGACTAAATAATAACTCATGAAGTTCATGCCCCATGTGTCCAGCCGCAAAGATTATGTGGCCCGGCCTGTTGCCCCAAAGTAACGTCGGAACGACGTGGTTCGCACAGGCGATTATTGAACCAGTACTGTTTAGCGCCTGCATGGACGATGCGGAAGTTCATATGCAGAGCCGCAAATCGATTTCCTTAGACAAGACGCTGTCTATTTTAATTGTCTGGGTGTGAGCAACTGTTGGCATATTATAGGGTATATTCTCCGACGACTCAGTCACCATAAGCTTATTCGGCTGATAACAATGCAGGTATATAAAAAGCTCCGGAAGTGGTATACTACGCGTTGCTCATAAAAAAATATCTTTTTACAACAAGTAAACAAATTGGCTTGTATAAATTGCACAAGATTAAAGAGAGCGTCTTGTATGGCGGATGCGAAGTAGCCAAGTCTTATGAAATAGTTTTGTTGACAGACTCCGCCTCAAGCCGAGATACGCAACGAGAAATGCTCAGACACTTTTTTGTACTTGCAGAATCTATTACATGTCTCTTTGCAATAGTGGAAACGGCCATTCTAGTCTCTATTGGGAGGGATTTCTGAGACAGTCATGGAGAGACTATGCTTCAATTGAGATCTAGATACAGCGCGAGCTTTACTTCATTCAATTTGACGCGCCAAAAGTATGTCACTAGGTCTTACTCTCGATTTCTCACTATCGCAATTTACTGCACGAGCTATACGCGCCGCGGCGATTTCATAGACATGCCCTTTCAGTTTGTTTGTTTTTCTCCTGGTTTTCTAAACCAGTATATAGATGATGGGAGCCAAATTACTACCTACTTTGAAGCATTACGTTTCGAAGGATCCTGGTCTACCAGTGCAGTGCCGTTAATATAGGGATGCGGCCGAGCACGGGTACTTATTATTCACGCGTCGTGTTAGTGGATATAGGCACATATCAACTAACTCCTCCCTTCGTAAGAAGCCCATTAGGCTTTCACCCATCTGGCCATCTGAGAGAATCACATCGTACGTTTTGCGCCTATTTCTTTAGCACGTTCAGCCTATTGATGGTTTTGCGGGGTGAATTCAGTTCATTAGCTATTGGCGCCCCGAAGTATACGCCGAACAATCGTCCGCGGCTTCTCTCCACAAGTTGGACATTTCCCCAGATTCCGTACAAGGCGTATTCATGACTTTGCGGAGAAACTCCACATTGCATCCAACCCCGGAAACGATATGACACTCGTGACAAAATATGCTGCACTTGGATACTCTATACATCCATCGGGTTAGAAAAAATGACTATTGAAAGAGTAATTAACCCTCGGATAAAAACCAGTTCCTGGGGATAGCTGACTACAGAACAGCTCCAAGATCTAGGCCCCGGAAATTTCACCGCACGAGCGGCAAGTCTTGCCGAGGTGCCGAACATGAATATCGAGTTTCGCAAAAGCCGGCTCCGAGAACGTAAATGAAGACATATAAATAGGCCCTTGACACCATCACGATGGTAAAGAGACTTCTTTTGAACAGCAGGGAAGCAACAGCCCAAAGTGTCTAGTCATCATCTCAGCACAATGGCGCCGACTGTTGTATTTCTCATCTCCCTTGCAGGGACACTCCTGCTTCGCCCTGCGGCCGCGCAGACTCAATGTGGTGGCAATCTTTACACTCCTGGAACTCTCAACTTCACGACTGAGTGTTACAATGCGTTCATGGACTGTGCTGCCCGTTTTGAGGCCAATGCAAGCCTGGTCAACTGTGACGACGGCAAGGGAAATCTGTTCATGCAACAACAGTCTAACCTGGGAGCCAACCCTGGAAGTCAAAACAACGATGCCGTCATCGCCTTTCAAGATATTCGCGATCTCTGCCTCCTCAGCGGTTCCACAACTGCAACTTGGGGCTACAGCGACAACCAATGGTACTGGGCAGCTGCCGAGGATGCGTGCTACACCAATGACCCCTCCAGAACGGATGTTGTCAAGACTCACCCGGCACCATTCTGCATCCAGAATCGCGATTCCGGACTTCCTGAATGTTATCCTCAGCCAGATGCCACTCCCGGTGGCCCTCTGAAGGTTCTCAAGACTGCCAAGACTCGAAACGGATTCAAGTCCTCTGCCCGAGGCTGGAATACCTACGGCGTTCAGGCTCTGCAGAACGGTTCCCAGGTTGTGCCATCCTTCGCTGGACAATCCGGCCTCTACTACACCCAAAAGTTCGTTGAGACTCAGTGTGGCGTGCTTGCCCGACCCGAGTTCAAAGCCGCTGGCTACGATCTCTGCAGTCTTGATTCTGGCTGGCAAGCTTTCAATGAAGTTGATGAGCACGGCCGTATTATCTATAACACCACTCGTTTCAACCTCCCTCAGCTGGCTTCTTGGTTGCACAGCAGAGACCTGAAGTTGGGAGTCTACATCACGCCCGGTGTTCCTTGTGTCGCACACAATCAGACTATTGTTGGTACCAAGATCAAGGTTGGTGATATCTTGAACGGCAACAACGACCAGATCAACTGCGACTTCGATTTCAGCAAGAATGGTGTTCAACAATGGCATGACTCAGTTGTCGCGCAGTGGGCTTCTTGGGGCGTGGATATGCTCAAACTAGACTTTGTGACCCCCGGTAGCCCCTCAAACGGCGCCAATCTCGCTTGCGACAGCTCTGCCGCCGTGAAGGCTTACCAGAAGGCCATTGCGAAGTCGGGCAGGAAGATTCGACTTGATATTTCATGGAAACTTTGCCGCAATGAGACCTGGTTGCCTGTGTGGAGCGAGCTTGCTGAATCGATGAGAACTGACCAAGATTTGGACAACTACGGCACCAACACATTGATGGCGTGGCAGGTCGGCCAGCGTGCTATTGAGAACTACCGTCAGTACATCGGCCTACAGGCACAGCGTAATGTTCCCATTACGATTTACCCCGATATGGATGCTCTATTCACAGTCAACCCGGAGCACCTTGCGGGTGTCAACGATTCTATTAGAACCACTGTCCAGAACCACTGGCTCGGAGCTGCTGCCAACTTGGTGATTGGTGGTGACATGCAGCAAATCGATGCACTGGGTATTAAGCTGACTACCAGCAAGCAGTCTATTGCTGCTGCCGACTTCTTTGCGCAGTATCCCATGCAGCCCCGTAACCCTGGAACTGGAAGCAACGCTGCCAAGCAGCTGCAGGCGTGGATTGGTGGCCCTTCAAACACCCACGAGGCTTACGTTCTTCTCGTCAACTACGGACCGGACCTGGGCAACGGAGGCTTTGGAACGCAGCTGTACGGTTCGCAGAAGTTGACCGTGTCATTGAAGGACCTTGGTATTTCCGGTTCGACATGGATCTTTACTGACATCTGGACGGGCAAGTCAACCAGAGTGACTGGATCTTACTCTGTTTCCCTCACGGAGGGTGCTTCACAGCTTCTCCGCCTGACACGGAGTTTCTAGAGAATAAATGGGTGGATGTAGAACCTCTTATAGATTTCTAGAGAATACATGTGTTCGAATAAAGATTGTTTAAAAAGTGACTCTGGATATCCTCTTGCTAACCTTGAATGAATTGCATTGCAGTGGTACATGAGGTTGGACAAGATTACAGAATGCCGCAACACATTCTTTCGGTTTCTACATGGGCAACTCAACATATCATAAGGGTACAAAGAGGGCGGATAAATAACAATCCTTTATAGACAATTTGTACTAGGTGTAGTCTAGATGTACAACACCCTCTATAGCACATATCTAAACATAGGCCCGTAATTCTCTACCGCCACAGCCTGAGTGGCAACTTGACCTCGTTCCTGTGCCTCAGCAAGTCGCGCTTTCTGTTCTTCAATAGTCCCATATTTCTGATCTAGCTTCTTATTCTCCCAGGCGAGCAGAATTCGCAAACCAATGACCAATAGCGTGGTAAAGAACATAAACGCCGCACAAACTGACTGACCCTTTACGTAGAAGGGGCCCTCATTGGAAGGATACAGTCGAGTGCCCAGCAGGGGACCGCATTGCCCGATGACGTTGAGAAGGACGATTCCGGCTCCTCGGCGAGTGTCGCTACCTTGGTTATCTGGAAAGATAAGCGGGTTAGAGGTGCATTTAGCATGATGTTCTTATTTCGCACTTACTCAATACCCAAGGAAGAATATTAGCAATGGAAGGAAAAATGCCTCCGGCCGCCATGAATACTCCAAAATAGCGGGCTCCAACAGATTTGGCAGATGCCAAGATAACATAGCCCACGCCGCCGATAATGGTTAGAATGATGAGCATGAACGCACGCTGCTGAGTTCTATCTGCAATGTAAGGCGTGATGAGGGTAATGAGAAAAGACAGGAAGAATGGAGGAGCGGTTAAGCCTTGAGCAGTTACGTCGGAAAATCCCATCTCTGAGAGAATCGTAGGTAGAAAAACCGGAAGAGAAGCAAAGCTGACATTGCAGCTGAAATACATGAGCTGTGATAATTGTCAGCGCTGACCATTATGGAATAAAATTGTATCAACTTACACCGGTGAACCAGGCTTTGATGTCAGTCAGCCCTCTCAAAAAGTCCACCCAGTCGACTCCGCCTATTCTGGCAGAAGAGCCTGCTTGGCGAACACTTCTTGCAATGGCTACTCTTCTCTCATCTTCATCAAAGAACTTGGCCTTTTCGGGAGAATCTGGGAGATAGAAGTAGGCCACAGCTGCCATGACAATTGTAGGCAGCCCTTCCACGAGGAATAATACCCTCCATTTCGCAATGGAAGGGTGACCTGATGTGATACCATATGCAAGAGCACCTGCAAAAGTATTGGCAAGAGGAGCAGCAGAGAGAAAGACTCCACAGCGGAAGCCTACTTCATGTCGGAGATAGAAGAAGGAAAGTAGAAACGGGATTCCTGGTCCGTAACCCGCTTCAGCGGCCCCCATGAGGAATCTAAGTGCCATTTCCGCCCCCCATGAATGGGTGACTGCTTGAAGAGTTGATACTAGTCCCCTATAGTTACTACTGTTAGCTCCCCAAGCAACTCAAGTGTGTTTGGTCAGGCCCATACCATATGAAAACGACGATGGTTGCCCAGATGTGTGGTGGCACGACCTTCCACATTATCCCAAGGAACTCAAATATGATGTAAGGGATATAGAATATTGTGAGCAGCCAGTCGTAACGATCTCCAATCAGGTTAAGATCAGTACTCATTCCGGCAATGCGCGCATTCCTGCATGTGACTACTTTCAGCAACCAACGTCGCAATTCTGTGATAGGATGCATACATACCCAATATTTGACCGATCAAGGAAAGCAAGAAGATCTACAGAGACATTAGCTGCAGGCGGTAGAATAGGCACGATGCAACGTACATAGAGCCATGACCAATGGCACAAGGTTTACATCTGTTTTCCGGACGACTCGCCGCTCCAGTTCAGGGTCGATGGAGGGCTGCTGCACGGCAGCATTCTCGTTCTGAACAGACACAGGCTCCTTTTCAACATTGCCTGTTTGCATGGCCAAATCCATGTCTGGCTGCGTCTCTGCCGTTTTCTTTGACTGGAAAAGCTGCATTGTCTGATCTATGATCTCCCAGCAGTGTTGATGCAAAACAGTGCGTCGCGAACGCTTCGCGAGAACCCCAGATTTTATGGGAAATGATCTTTTGCGGGGTTATGTCTAAGACAAAACCAGGGGACCACATTGACTTTCTTGTCTTGAACTGGTGACTCCATTCTATCTCCGGGATGTGGCAGCCGATCCCTGCGACCTGCTGTTGATGATTCCCTTTGTAGACGCCTCAACAGTCAAGACCGGCACTTGGCTTCCGAAGAGGAGCAGTTCCGCACGCGGCTGTCCTATGACGAAAGAGTTCTGTTTCCGTTGTCCTGCACCCCGCCACTCAAATGTCCGTTAAATCCACAAGTACCCCAGACTAAAGAAAGAGAGGGCGCCCATTGTCCAACCTGTTGCGGGTACTGCAGTCTGGTAATTACATGTAGTTGTGCTACACTAGGTGATATAGCATCGGCAAAATCGCTAGATGTACTCCGAATTCCTCGGAGATCACTGGAGCGGCTAATGTAAAGATAGGCGAGCGCTCACCTGCGGGTTTTCTCTCTACCGAGTAGGCCATCTAAAATGACATTGGTCTTTTGGAACCATACTGTGTAGGCAAATGGCAAAAACTTATCAACCTTTGCTGAACCTGCATATGTGCTGCTTGGCAAAATTGCGTAGCTGTGAATTTGATATATAGATGAATCTTGAAGAATAAATATGGTTGTCTTAATACGCTCTTTAATAAGCGTTTCTTCTTTTCACACGAAAGTACGAAAGGGACTGCGCCCTATGCACATACATAGCCCAGCCTTGCCCATGTCATCAAGTGGGTGTTGGCCAGCGGCCCTGAAGCGGGGATGATATAATAGCCTACGGAGTACCAGTTTGTGAAAAAGAGTTAGGCTTATGGCGATAGGGATGAATTTCTGTTGATTAGGGAAAATAATTGCTAAATAATTAAGGCATAATGATTTCTTGGAATGTTTTATCCAGAGCATGGATGCTTCATTGACTCATGGATGTCGAAATTGGGAGCTATGTCAATGCCTTTGGTTTCAGACGTATCTCTTTGGCTTTAGGGTACGTGCTTCCGACAAACTTCACTAAGGTAATGCCACCAGAACTCTGAAAGGACTCAAAGCAAAAAATAGACCTTTGATTGAGACTACTATACACATCTATCAAATGAAGGTTTAATATGGAAACTGGACGCGCCACAAAGGTGAAGACTAAAGCTCAAAGGCACCGCGACAGCCGATTTCAAGTTGAAGAAACCAAGCTCCAGCATTCACTGCACGGTTCTACGTTGTTCGTATTCTGCGATCGACTGATTCAGGTTGCCAAGACAGCTAAAGTGGCAACTCAAATTATAAGCTTAAAAATGTCTAGATCGAAAGAAACTCACACATATAAGAAGAAGTAAAGAAGGAAAATTTGTGGTGCTACTCGGCTTCTGTTTCCTTGTCCGGGAGCTGATTTCTATTCTGCGTTAGCTTCGCGGTTTTGCAAGAATTATTAGCCACCATAACACCAGTCCGGGTACTACAACCGAGCCATGTTTATTTGGTACGCTAATTCTTCACTCATTTCTTTATTTTTAGTTGGCTGTCATCGGAATCACCGGAAACTTTATCATGGTATTTTCACATGTCGTGTCTTCTTCTTCTTCTCTTCAATGTTATTTACACAACTGGCCTCTATCGTGACTATGTTGACAAGTGTTTACAACAATTGTCTTACGCACGGCGCATGTAGGCCACGTAATAATCGTGTTCGCGGTTTCAACCCTCGTATTTGACTAGTTCAGTGAGTCAACTTATGGCTACGCCTCTCCAAAAGTGGAAATTGCCAACTGAAATGGCACTTCTGAACAGGTAACAGCCGGAAAACCCCCCACCCTTAAGCCCTGTAAAGTCGCGGATTTAAACAAGTAAGAACGCACGAGACTGTCTCATCCCGTGTCAATCTCAAAATCTTACACTTTCTTTCCGCCTTTTCCCACATTGTTTCTTCAATGATTCACTGACCGGCGCGCCTTTACAATGTCTGCCTCAGCACATACACAGCCGATGCAATGGGCTATTTATCATGACGATAACGTCCATTTTGCTTATGAAGCACCCTGGTGGTCGCGCGTTGTTTTGCTGGTTGACCTAGCAGTTCTCCTGCCTCTCTTTATTATCGTGCGTGCTTGTAGCCCCCTGAGTCACTGCGGCATTGTCATCTCTTGCCTCGCGGTGATGGTAACTTTCTAATCGCAACTAATGAGATCGCTGGTAAAATAGTTCAACTACACTTTGCCCCGTGTTTATCCGGTGTTTGCTATTGTGCAAGACAAGAAACGAGGAGAAAACGACCCCATCAGACTCGGCAATGTTGCGGACGAGCGGGCCTCGGAGTTCAACTCTGTCGACAATCCCAGTCGGATAAACTCGTCCTCTCCAGCAGCCATCTATCGCCTTTTGGTAGAGACCGACGGCTTTATGGCCAACTTCCGTGGCTTTTCTTGCGCTCTACTCCAGAGTGCCGTGACGGCATTCCCAGTTGTAATCGCTGCTCGTTATATCCCCTTCCCATTTGGCCGTCTGTCGAGACTTCTTCCTGCACTCGCCATGGTTCAATTCAGCACCCTTTGGCTGCATCTCATCATCTCTAAGCCAAGCCCCCGATCATTCTGGAGACGTGTGCCTTCGTTTGGACGCACCTTCAGCGCAACATGGAAAGCGGTCGTTATTCACTGGGCCGCGGTTGAGATCACGAGGTGGCTGCCCTACTGGGTAGCCTCGTCCATGGGATTCGAGTGGCCTTGTTTCAATCTTCTCATGCCTGACAATACATACAAATTTAGAATGGACATGGCAACTGGAGATATGGCCCTGTACTCCAAATGCGCCCTTGTCATCCTCCTCACCATTATTGGGTCCATCTGTTTCATCGTTCCCAGCCAGGTTGTTCTGATGCGAATCCAAGCGTCTCTTCTTCCGATTGAAGATGATGCCATCATTCCATTTGATAGGTCTTTTGATGGCAAGGTAGTACCTTCGATCCTAGGCGGCCGAGGCTACGCCACGATCTCCGACGCGTTTCACACCTTTACATGGGCGAGTTGGAAAAACCTGGCTATTCTTTCCATCAAGATTATCCTCCTGTCCATGTCTCTGATTGGGTTTGTTGGTTTCTTCTTGATTGCTCAGTGGTCTATAATCGTTAAGAGGACCGTGGAGCCTAACCAGTACAACTACTGAGCTTCTAAACTGATGGGTTTCCCACGTTTTTACCTGTATTTTTCCTGAGTATCTTATCACTAGATGGTACATTGTGTAGCGAATATTGAATTGAATTAATGAGGAAATCTCAAATCACCACTCGTTGCTAAGCTATGACATTATTCTACCACCGACCAGACATACAGCCTAAAGTATGTATACCGGTGTGCGACTCTCATACGCATCGCCCTTGCTTACCTGAATGTCCTTTTTATGAAAGTCGTGCAGTTGCAGCCAGTGAAGCATTCGGAATATGAGGGCACACCAAATCTTGTTAATCTCACGTTTTGTTGTGGCTTCTGAGTCCGCCATGTCTTCCGAAGTCGCCACAAGCGTGTTTGTTTTCTGGTTGTACTGTGACCGCTGCTTGTAAACAGTTTCTATGACGTTAAGCCGTACCGATGTGCAGTATAATCGTGCGAGGATGTGATGCTTTTCGTCAACCGTAGCGGAATCAAAGTCGCTTATGCTAATGGAATCATGGCTCTCATCCTCAGGTTCGTCGCCCGGTTTCTGATTCAACATCCCCAATACTTCTTGGATGTGTACGCGAACGACTTGGTAAATCATTACCATATCTGAACCTTTCAAGTATTGATCACAGAGCTCTATGCCTCCCCGCACGTGTGAAATCCTATCGGCCGTTGCTGTACCGCTGATGTTGGTATGGATCGATCCATTGGGCGGCTTTTCAACCTTTTCCGCAACGTCATCACACCAATCCAATATGTCAGAAATCTGATCACTCTCTTCGGAACGGGCCGTCTGTGTTTGAACTACTCTTAATAGAGAGACAATGTTATTGGTGAGTGTGGGCAGGGAAAATGTGTTGGGTTCCCAGTAATATACTGTGGGATTAGGAAGCATCCGAAAAGCAGTATCTTTTATGTGAAGTATTTGACCGACCATGCCTAATATTTCGAATGGAACTGTGGTACAATTAGTCTATAAACAGATATTTCACCATCGTAACCATTCTAGGGGTCGTGTATTGTTATGAAGAGAGTAGCAGATATCGGAGCACGACATACCAGGAAATAGATGGCTATGACGAGCAGTTTCGGCGTTCTTTCTAAAGTAGCCAATCGTGTTGTTATCACAGCCAAACTCCGCCAGAGTATCAGCAATCTCTGCCAAGGTGCCGAGTTGTAAGGTTGCATGATCTTCGCCCCCATCGACGTTGACGAGCATTTCACGATGGAGAATTGTCGGCGCCATACCAAAGCACAACTGTTTGATGTCGTGGTTTGGAATTAGGCGATTTTGTCCAAATACAGTTCGGCCTTGTTTCTGAAAAGTAAAGGATATGCCCAAATTATCGACGTAAGAGCCATACAAGACAAAACCGTTGCCTTGAGCTCGATAACGATCATTATCCAAATCGAAGTTCTTCCAGTGAATGCCAAGCATAGCAGCGATCTCGATTAGATGCGAGATAGTGGTTGTGGCATAGGGTTTACTGAGACCCTGGGGAATGCTATCCCAGACTCGCTGCTTTCTCTGCATGCAGACAACCAACGAGTGAGGAGGCGATGGATCTAAGGGAGGCTGGTAGCCTAGCGATTCCTGCTGCCAAGAACGCGACTCATTCTCCATTTGATAGATGGTCATCAGCAAGTGACACCATGTTGCGTTTTCGTTGTCTGCTGTACGGATAGCTTCTTGCTTATTCTTCTTTTGCTGCGCGTTGAACTCTTCAGTGCTTGATGTGTACTTGAGATTTGCGTGGCTGCCGTCAAGGCGTATAATCTTCCTATCCTCTGTACGGAAATCCTCATCATTTCCGAGAGGCCCTCTCGTATTCTCGGGCCTTGCGACAAATAAGACGGGTGTTTCGAAATGTACTTCGATGCGGAACTCAGACCAAAGCATACTACGCCTGGAGAATCGCGACCATTTCCCTATTACAGCTTCGCTGCAAGAAGAATAACCTGTAGCCGATGCAAAATATTGTTGGAGGGCCTGTAGAATGGCGATAACAAAGGCTAGAATAGAAATGATAAGTGCCACAATGGCAAGAATCAGCTCAGTATTATCGGTAGAAGACATGGTGTAATATGAGCATCTGTTGATGGCCTCTTCTTTTCGCTTGGCTCTGGCCCTTTACTTCTCGCCCCGGCATGAGGCCAGAGGATGGTTTGGATGAGAACTGGTCATGGAGGACGAAGCCTACTCGTACGTGAATCAAGTCATACTCGTCCACCGCTTGGCAGGGGCAATGAGCTCTAGCCGCCGAACTGTTAGCCTCACCAGCCTAGCCCCCAAATTTTGAAGGCCTGTCACAACCAATCGCCGGCAATAGTCCTGCAGCTATACCCACCAGACACGTCAACTTTGGTGTTGTTACCACCCCGCTTCCTCTGGCGATCCCCGCCAAGAATTCTTCTTCTACGGTGAAATGCCGACGATTAGGGTTGCGACGATCCGGATGGGAGTACGTAGATTGTTTTACAATGCTGCGATTTTGTTTGCCGTAGAGGTGTTCGTATTCATGAAGTAACAACTTGGAGTAAGTGGGTAAAGGACAATATGGCGTTGGTCCAAGTCGAGAGAAAGAATCTGCGCCCGCTAAATTATACCAATCAAAAATGCTCTCGGTATGGCACAAACATTCGATCTACTTTATCCCTCTTTGGTCACTTCGGTAATGAAAAAAAAAAAAAAAAAAAGAAAACAAGGCTCAGCGCCTTTCGACTGAGCTACAGCCAATTGAAGCTACGAAAGGTTGGAATTGAGTCTGTCATTAAGAGCGCTAGAGATGTACGGAGAAGGTCGCTGCTGCAATGCGACTGAATAGCCTTCGTTTTTGGTTAGTCCGGCTAAATGAACGCAGCTGAGTGAAGCCTGTGGCTAGACAAACGAGAGACAAGATCTATTGGGCGATGAAGTCGTTAATTCTGAGACCAAGGTAGCTTACTAGGTTAAGTGATTGGTTGGTAATTTGTGACAGAGCGCAAATTTGTGACCACCGCAAGAGTGGGAGTGGAGGCATGACATGCAACTCTATAATGATTGAGGCTCAAGAGTACCAACATCATGGAACGGAGATGACCCAGTGGATAAAATAAATGGAGCTCTTTCATCGCCCCCAAAGCCAATGTATAATGAGAGCCTGGTCTGGCAATATAGGTACATACTCTGTATATAAGCTGCTCTACGTGTGGTGCTTTACTCTCGTATCTACGGAGCAGCGGCTCATTGTCTGTCTGCCTCCAGTGCAACATTCTTGGAGTTCCTCGCTCCAATTAGAGCATCAAGATATTTCGATGTAACATCTTCCATCGTCGATCCACCAATGGTCTTTCCAATGATTTGACCGATAAGCTCGGCTTGCGTGATGATTCCCAACCGAACTGCGTCGTGCATGAGGTCGAAGAGGTCATGTTGACTGACCCCTCTCCGAACTCTCGCTAATAATTCGCTCGTTAGATGTTGCCATGACACGGTAGATTTAAGCAAAGCTTACGTTTCATTATAGAATCTCTGCCTTTGCGAATTTTGATGACGTATTTTCTCAAAGTTGAGGCATCGTATTCCGTCTTGACCCCCACCTCATGACCGAGACTTGTGATTGTGTAGTCAAGACCTCCTTTCACTGATTGGAAGTCGAAATACTTTTTCAACACTAGAATTCAGAATTCAGGAAATGAGTCTTTGCGGAAGCTGAAAGGTTTAGCACTGAAATAATCCCACGTACCTTCCTTTCTTCCACCCTCTGCTGCCTTGACTTCCTTTTCGTTCATGAGCTGCAAGCCGAGACCTTCTGGTGTCACGCCCGCACTTTCCATCAACTTTTGGATAATCTCATCATCCTCTAAATAGATTGTGAGCAGAGTTGCGTTTTGGAATCATCATAGATTGGGAAAGACTCACTGTATATAATGATGCCCTTCTCGAAGCGGGACTCTCCTGAGTAACAGATGAGAAAAAACACATCGACGTAGCCTATGAGTCTTATCTTTCCATTCCATCGTGACCCATCTATCAGCACATCCCATGGGTGAATGTCACTGCCAAAAAAGGGGCCTGTTAGAATGCATATAAATGAAAATATGGAAGAGATACTCACTAATTGCACTCTACACTTTTTTGTGTCACTGACCTATCAAAGGTCATTAGAACTCTATGGTACGACGCCATGTTAAGGATGTGTAGAAGGTTGTAGATGATGATAGTGAAGAATCCTCAGGAAGGATAGATTGCAGATTCCCCCTGGGCTGTGAGTAGAATACTGGGAATTTTGTAAGAAGCCGGGGACTCTGGAGGGACCCCGGTAGAAGAAGAGTGATGGCGATGCTCCTATCCTGCCTGAATCACACGCTAGAAACGAGAGCGTTGGGCTAGCTCGGGGCACCATTCAGCAGGTTGATCCATCCTACTGACCCACCAGTTGGCCGTCATTGCTGCATGTATGTACGAGCATTTCCGGGCTCTCCCAGAGCTATTTCCGAATAAAGACAGCCTACCGATGCAGGCTAATTGCGCCTCTGCAACGGCGCCAATGGCATAGCAGCTGGAAGGCATCCGTATCCCAGAAGACCCAGCAAATGATGACCAGCTGAAAAAAATGCAACACACAGGACCAACGTGGCAGAGAGTTATAGGCTATGAGCCTGTTGCTCTCCAGATAAAGCTCTGATTTATCATCTATGGCCATTGCGGCTAATCGAGTTGACGTCTTAGCGCATCTGCAAGCTCTGTCTCCGCGCCCCAATTCGCGGGATAACCTCATCACATATTCAGCCGCATGTACCCAATTGCTTTGAGGGGTATTATAATTGCCCAAAGCCCACGTTGGAGTCTCTTCAAAGAAACAAAACAAAGGTGGTCATCCTTTCATTTCCTGGGTATTTGCACACCAAGAGGCTGGTACTAGCCATCCATTTTGATCACCATGGCCTCGATGACCAGTATATCCGATAAGATTGCAAGGGTCACTGACCTGAGCAACTACACGGATATCACGCCTGAAAAAATTAAAAAGATCTTTGATGATATCGGAAGCAGCCCAGAGAAGCTCCGAGCAGCCTTGAACCTATGGTTTGTCCCGGATTTTAAGCCAACTTTCACACGGACAAAGGATAGTGCTCTCTCTACCCTGCAAGACATCGAGTTTCTCGAAGCTCCAGATACGGAGCGGCCCCAACGGCCGTTACGTATGATTGACCTTGATACTGGCAACATAGTCGATGCGTGGAACATTTCCCATCTTGACTCATATTGCATACTGTCTCATCGTTGGAAAGGAGATGAGATCACCCTGGCTCATTTTATGCGTGCCAGGGAGAAGTATATGGAGCGCATAAGGACCAGAACTGGGGCTGCCTCCAATATCGAGACTCTAGCTGCTCAGAGCGATGATATTTCTCTGGTTCTTGAGCAGTGTACACTCGATATAATCGACCAACAACAAATAATCGAGATGATCTTACAACAAGAATCGGAGGGCTTGAGCGTGGAAGAACTTATCAAGAGAAAAGTTGAAGCCAACGAAATGAAATGGAAAATGAACTCGGCCCGGCAAACTCGAGATTCTAAGAAATCACTAGTTGATCTGAGTAAGATCGAGAAGAAGATGTTTGACACCATAATCCACCGCGCCGGAAAGGTGGTTGACAGCAATACGCAAGATTCACAAAATGCGGAAACTCCTACCGCAACTGCGGAAGGTATTGTCAGTGGTGGCCCTGATATGCCACAGCCAGAGAACTCGGATCATGCCACCACATCTACGGTCGTTAGCAAGGCAGAGGAAGCATACGCCAAAGCAGAGAAGGACTTTGAGGACTTGCTTATAAAGCAGAAGGCTGTTGCAGAACGTACTCAAATCTTTCAGAAGAGCAACCGCCTCGGTGATGAAGTGGATGAGTTGATCCGTCGGCTACAGAGATGGAAGTCAGCTATCAAGTTACACAATTCGATAAAAGAAGCGCAAAGAATATTCCGGACCAGTCATTTCCAGAGACGTGGGGCTCGCTACATCTGGTCTGACACATGCTGCATCGACAAGAAGAACTATGGAGAATTATCCCAGTCTTTGTCGTTGATGGGAGATTGGTATTCAAATGCCGAGTTTTGTCTTGTGCATTTGGATACAAATTGGCGAGAAGCTGATGCGATTGACGATTGGCTCAAATTTGGGAGAGAGGTGAAGAACAGCGGAGACAAAGTGCCAGCTGTGACTCCTAACATCCCAAGCTTCCGAGAGATAAAGTCTACAATTGAATGGGCAAGCCGAGCATGGACGTTGCAGGAATTGGTTATGAGCAAAATGACATATTTCGTCAACTCCGAGTGGACACCTCTCAGTCGTCCCATTGAGAATCTTGGGGATATATATCCTCTGGTTCCATTTATTGAACTTCATACCCAGGGAATTGAATCAAACATCTACGCAGGCCCACCAGAAGTCATTAACCACACAAAGCTTTCTCAGTGGAAAATTGGGGATTTCAACGCGCTCATTCCGTATTTACGAGAAACCGACATTGAACTTGTCAATGAGAGCAACAACGGTGGCCGCTGGGAAACAACGTACCAGATCGAAGCAGAGCAAGTTAGAGAGTCGATACAGCTTATCTCTGTACTTAATGCTCTAGGGTTCCGCTTTCCTGCCAATATGACAGTAGAGACTGCTACGTCCGAGATTTCACGAGCTGTCTGTCTGGCGGCCTCTGATTTGGATAGAAGCAAGGGTCACGGATCAGACGAGAGTGGAATACGTCTCCTAGCAGAGCTCAAGAAAAACCACCTGCCTAATCCATCTGGCGATGCAAGTCCAAGTGATGCGAATGATACCGAGGAAGTCATCAAATTTCTCCTACTTTGTCTTGTCGCGAAAGTAGGTGATCTCATCGTCTCTGACAGGCGGTTTATTGCCGAATTTGGAGGTGTGAGACCTCTCACAACGTGGAAGAGCGGAATCGCTCGCAGTGGATTCCCCGCGCAGCTTGTTCTACAACTATCTTGCAGTCGAGTTGCCACTGTTCCAGTCGACCACGTCTATGCTCTCATGGGTATTCTTGGTGTTCGATTCCCATCGTTCCATGCGGAAGGTTATGCGAAAGCTCTTGCTCGCCTTCTGGACGAAGTTATCGTCACCCATAATGATGTGTCCGTGTTTAATTGGGCCGGAGCAGAGATGGGAAGCCCTGTTCGTGGTCGGTCCATGTATCCCGCGTCTCATAAGGCATACGGGACTGACGAAGATCGTGGCCGGCGATACAATATGATGATCTCAGCAAAAGTGAGACAAGACCGAAAACAAACGATGGTCACTTATCATGGGATTATCCAAATGCTCCGCGATGCGATAGACTGCGTGAAAGACAAGAGACGAGAGAGTATACCTTTGCATTGGGTGCGAGAAATAACATCGTTCATAAGCAACTCTACCTTTGACAACCTTCAGCCCCAGCTCATTAACATTGGCAAAATTCTTCTCTACGTCAAACTACACTGCGCACAGCTTAAGAAATCAGCCTCTGACCAGAGTGTTCAGAACGATGGCTCGAAGGATGCAGCAAGCAGTGACGAGAAGTCTTCATGGTCGCTCAATTTGACCCCGTCTCTTCCGAGCCTGAAGTCTTCCTCTGAGAAAGTGACCTCGAGTCTTCCAGGGTTTGGACTAAGCAAAAACATCAAATCAGGATTCGGCAAGTTTTCCTCCAAGACATCGGAGAAAGCTGTGCCGCAGGAAGCAACACCCGCTCCGCCCGCAGCGCCGCCAGCGCCGCCTCCGCCAGCAGAGCCTGAATGGAAACAACTTGACTCAGGTGTGACCGAGTATTTGAGGGTTATGCGCGATGCCGACAAATCACAAGGCGAAAAAGAAGATCCTCTACCAAAGAAGATAAAAGACATCGCTTTCAACGTCATTGAGCCCGAGGGACTGGAGAGGCAAATGAGTGACGACGGCGAGAAGATTACGGCCGAAAACCTGGCGTGTCCAAACCCGATCATAGTCAATAGCTCGGGAATTGAAGGCATCTTTGACATACAACGAATTGTTGTGACAATGATTGACCGGGAGAAGCTGGTGCGACAAGTGGCAAAGGCAACCAGTCCGAAGCAAAAGATTTCTGGGTGGTGCACTATCAGCACCGGGTTTGCGAATGTTGCCGTGCATTTTGCATGCGAGCAGCGCATCTTGAAAACGCAGTTGGACGTGGAAAAGGCGACTGAAGACAAAATCATTAAAGAAACCACCAGAGCCAAAAAGCTTCAGGGAAGCATCGAGCTTCAAAGTGTGGACCAAGTAGTAGAAGGAGGAATGAACTTGGTCGCAAATACCACGATTGGTAAAGGCAACCAAGATAAGCAAGCAGAAGAAAAGGATACGACGGATTACATACGCGCCACAAAGGAAGAAAAAACAGTCGTCAGAATGCTCGACTATATCCAAGAGCCGCAGCTTCAGCTTGTTGCTGGAGAATGGGTACTGGCGCGGTTCTCTGGAGTTCCAGGCGCGAAGTGGTTTCTCTGTTTCCTCGAGTTGGGCTCAACGCATCAATTCTATGGCCAGCGCATAGCCGCTACTGAAATCGACTTTACCAACTCTGCGGTAGAACCGGGACTCATGAGTGCGTGGCAGATATACATGGACCGCAAGAAGAGAAAGATGTGCAAGATCCTGGAAACGTACATCAAAAGCTCTGAAAATGCGAAGCAAGGTGAAGAGAAGCTGTCAAAGGCTACAACTCTGGCAAATGATAGCTATGACAAGCTTACCGATGCGGGACTCCAGAGATTCGAGACAGCCAAGAGTTTCTCTCCGATGTCGCCTCTCTCGAAGAGGTTCCCATTCTCGACAAGCAGTGAAGCTGTCAATGATACAAAAGCCAATGTCGCCAATGTTGATGATGAAGACGACGACAACTTTTTTGACGACCTCCTCGAGCATGCAAAAGAGGCGGCGATATCACTTGGTCATTACACTGTTTTGGCAGCTTATGAAAAGTTTTTTGAGATGCAAGCTAAGCATATGGACAAGTATCTTGCGGTTTCGGTCCTCAAAAAGACGCCAAAGATTCTCCAGAGCGCTGTAGAGAATCTTGATGAGAACAAAGGATTCCTTCCCGCCATGTTCCATTCTGGAAAGAGAGTACATATGTTTTAGAAGCCTTAGAGCAAGAATGCAAAACAGTTCTGGTGGGCCTATTTGCTACATTAGAAGCTATTTCTGTGAAGTGAATTGTGAACGTGAGTTCATTGGTTACAGTGATAGTTCATCCTAAGCAAAGGCTCTCAAATTGCAGTCATCGATCTGTTCATCATTTCGTCGAGTCTACTATGAAGAAACCGATGACTCATCTTCTAATCTCTCTCTTTCCAACGCTTTGAAGATTCTCGGGGTAGTATCATCATCTAAGAGGCCTAAATAACGGCCTAAATATTAGTGAGCATGTGATAGAACAGTCAGGTAACTACATTTCCTTACTTGCAGCAAGCCACCGGGTTTGTATGAGATTTAAGAAGTCTCGCAATGACTTGAGAATTTGGATGTTCGTACTGAAGCTGGTTTCATCTCTCATAGAATTGGTTAAAATCTTTGCAGCTTTGTACATCAAAAAGTGGACAAATGGCGGGAGACTGTTCAGGGAGTCGTCGTCGATATCATTCAGCGGTTGAATCAGGTTGGATACGTCTCTTATTATGTTTTGCAACGGGAGAGTGGCTGCGATCCAGTGTTCTTTCATGTTATAATTTAGTGTCCGTTCTCTGTCACATTTATCGTATACGAGAAGAAGACCGCTACCAAATTGTAAACTTTGATCACTCCAAGAATTGGGATAATACTTACATATTACAGATGAGAAGACCACTGGCGTATATTCTTGAGTCTTCAGGCGCCTCTCCAAGTATCACGGTTCTCAATGATACCAATGTGTTTACCAGAAGAGCTCCTTCTTCAAGATTGAATGCGATTCGCGGTGTCGGCTCATAGATAGTTAAATGAACTCGGTCCAGAAGGTTTGTTGCTTCGTATAACCGTAGAAATTGTCGCTGAGGAGAAAAGGGAGTAGACCTGAAAACTGGGCAAACAGCGAACGGAAGCTCTGAATAAGGTAAATCAGGTTCGTTGGAATGAATGCGCCTCGAGACTGGAGGATATTTGCCGTTTTCAATGGCAATATATCTGAATAATGCTGTTAGAAATGACCTTATTTGCTGCTGCTATAGAGATCGCCAAGGTACATAGTGTATCATCTCGTTTAACTCACCTATCCATAACCTTAATTGCTGCCCACGTCATGCAAAGTTCTACCCGTTCCTCCTCTGAAGAGGGTTCACTCGAGCGAGTTTCTAAGTCTCTACCTCTCTTAAGAATCTCTGCTGCTCTAACCACCCCACTTATTGATATGTAAGCTGCAGGATATAAGCCGTGTGTGACTTCAAATGTTGTAAGGAATAGTCTGGACTGAACAACTTCCGTTGAGTTGACTCCGATGCCCTCGAGTAATGCGATCCAGCTTTTGGTAGAAAGATACAGATCCTTCAGTAGAGAATCATTGCTATTCATCCAGGTGCTAGATTCTGGAGCAGTGCAAACTAGCATGATGGTTGAACACAGTAAAGTGAAATCGAGTGTTGCATTATCCCAATTGGCCGGAAGTTGGTCGCCTAGCCTTGACTCTGCAATGATAGGGGACCAAGGCTGCATAGTCCGATAATACGCAAGTGCCACATCCTTGGGCTCAGTTTCTCGGAATTTTCCGACAATGGCGGCCTTGATCCGTTGCGGACAGAGAGTCTCATCCGGAGAGATTGTCGGATTCGTGGTAAGAGATGTCACAGATCCTGAAGATGACAAGGTTATGGTCTCATACTGACAGTCTTCTTGTCGACTAGGAAGGCCACGTAATTATTAGTATACAAGATGGATAGAAGCATTTGTGGATATTATAAATCGGGTTTGTAATACTCACCGCGTACAAAGAAGACATTTTGGTAGCGCTCTGTCACATTTCCTCTTAGACCGGCGACATCGTAAACACGCCTTCCTAGCATTGGCGGGTTTCTGTGCCCTATCCGTTGACCTCATAGTGAGTTCCTTAGGAAAACCCGAGATAAATTACCTGAAATTCCTATCCTGCGGATCGATGTTCAGCGCACATTGACAGTCCCGAACGCAATCAGCGGAAACATGCGGACGCGAAATAATATATAGGGCCGCATTAGTCATACGGGCTTGCGGTCTATTGCCGACTTGTGGGGATGCTTGCGGACAATTGCCGCAGGAGGCGTCGGGCTGTAAGTCAAATCATATTAGCGGATGAGCGGGAATGGCTTCATCAAGACTCGTCGTGTGTAATTGATTGAGATTACCAAGTTACAGAGGGAATTTTTACATGTTGAATCGGATCGAATATATAAAATGATCATGATTCCCAGATGTTCAAGACACTTTTCACACAGCTCATCGTCTCATTACACCATAGCACTCATTTTTAAACAAGTCTCGACCGATTAACCACCCACCATGGCTGTAATTCGAAATGTCGCCGTTGCTGGTGTGAGTAAAAAGAAATGAACTTTTATTTCGAAGACATAATCTGAGAGCTAATTTGCATAGGCTTCGGGCAACATTGGATCATATGTTTTGAAGGCGCTGCTTCAGGCTAACTTTAATGTTACGGTTCTTACTCGTTCTCAAAAGCCTGGAGCTTACGATTCCAAAATCACGGTAGTAGAGGTGGATTTTACTTCTGTGGGCTCTTTGACATCAGCTCTTCAAAATCAGGATGCTATTGTATCGACTGTTGGGAAAGCTGGCTTAGAAGCCCAAAGACTCCTAATTGATGCAGCCATTGCCGCTGGTGTTCAACGATTCATTCCTTCAGACTATGGGGTGTGCACGACTAGCCCCAAGGTTTCAGGCTTTCCCTTCTATTCCACATTGGCAACCGTTCGGCAGTACCTCGAAGACAAGGCAGCTACGGGTGCTTTGACTTACACCATTGTGGCGATTGGAAGCTTTTTGGAGTACGTGTTGATGACTCCCACCGTTGTCAACTTTAAAGAGCATTCGGTTACTCTAATGGACGAAGGCAAGAATAGGATCAGTACTTCCCCCCTGGCGAGTATTGGGACGGCTGTTGCGGGTGTATTCAAGAATCCGGACGAGACTAAAAACCGTGTCGTCTACGTCTCGGCGACAATCTTGACGCAAAAGCAAATCTTTGACATTGCAAAAGAAATCAAGCCCGAGATAACATGGACCGTTAGCAACATCAAAGCATCAGACATTCTCAAGGAAGGCCTCGATGCAGTCGCCTCTGGAGACGGCGGCTTCCAAGCTATTGGGAACATATTGATTGGCACTGCCTTTGGAGGCGAGGAATATGGCTGCGCATACGACAACAATGATAACTCGCTCCTTGGTATTGAACCAATTACTGATGAGACGCTCAAAAGTTTGATCGCTGCGCAACTCAACTAAGACTGCTGCATGCGACAGTACTTGAAGATGGACAATGCAATGAGTGGACATATGCAATAAATATGCTATCGTGGTTTACTAGAGAAATAGATACTGTATAACTGTGTATTATTCCACATGCCAATCATACTCGAGGCTTCTAAGCACTGAATAGAAGACAGTCCGCTAACATTGGTCCCCGATATTCACCTAGTGTGAGCTCCATCCAGCCATAGTCAGCTCTAGCGTGCTATTTCCCATACCTTGCGCTGTTCTAACTCTGTCCATGGGCTTGCAAGTGTGAAGCTCGATGATGTGGAGAGAGTTCGGCGAAAAAACGCCGGGGCCCCACTAGACCTGGCTGTCAGTGACATCTATCTCTCCTAGGCGTTGCTCGAGTCTTCAATCCTTTCATCGGATTCCATTACCGGCTGATCCTCCTTCGCATTTTCACTTGTCAGACGTACCGGATATGTGAAACTCATTCCCAGCCGCTCTCTCCACTTGCAACAACCCTTCTATCTCCACACACATGGCGACCGCTAAAGCGTGTGTTCGCTGCCACGGTAAAAAGATCCGGGTAGGGAAAAGAAACCCGAAAGCCTGGAGTAGGCGGTAGAATAATCATGACATGAAAACTTACATGGGAATAGTGCTCTGGTTACCCGAGATGTCGAACTTGCGATAAAGCCGGGGTGAACTGCGAACCCTACACGAGGCACAGGAAGGGAGATAGCCTGGTGTATGTGCAATACTTGTCCAACTTCCAGCTTACCAGCGCAAAATCAGAAGGTTAATTGATCGTAGTGAACTCAAATACTATCGACAGAGGACTATATGGCTCGAAGAAGAAGTTTGCAGAAATTTCCACATCCAGTGTAAAGACATACCAACCGGGACGCTTCTGCAACCAGCCCATGATGGCTTGACTGGCGCTGAGCAAGATCTTACCCGACAACCAAGCGGACCTCTTACTCCTTCGGACACACGCGACGACATACAAGATGCTCCAGCTGAAGCCGGTCATGCTGCAGATATTGGTATGCTAGCTCTAAATGCAACTGGAGAGATGCGATACCTTGGTCCTTCCAGTGGCGCTTTTTTTGCTGCGTATACAAGTGCCCTCGCGCGGTCGTGCATCACAACACAAAGCTCGCTGAGCACTGCATCCAACACGCAGCATGCAAACTCTGTTCGCGACACGGATACAAGCTTCGCCAGCCCTACGTTACGACTCTCCTCTAGCGATGTGAATCTGTTTTCAGAGTCGTACAAGATGTGGATACTGCCAGTATATCCCATTCTAACCTCCGATGATCTGGATATAATGGTATCAAGATATAACGAAGGGCCTGACCTTGATAACTCAGAATATCGTCGACAACCTGAAATTGCCACAGAAATAATGCTTTTTTATTTGGTGATGGCCCTTGGAGCCATCAATGCCGAAAACACCCTGAAACAAATGCGTGGGCAACCCGAGCAAGAGAAAATGGCTACCATGTCAACTCCTCGGCCATCACCAGCGTCACTTTGTATGCGGGTTTTGCAATTGATGGATGAAAACTTTCAAAGATTGCACCCAAGTGTCAGATTTATACAAATAATTGTCTTGATTTCAATCTACAGCTCTTATGGATCTATTGGCTCAAGCCAGTGGCAGCTGGCTGGCCTTGCGATGAGGGTATGTACGATCCCTTCTCTGAATGGGCTTTCTCCCATATCTCAATCCAATGTTACACTTGCGGTAAATCCACTCACAAAGTGTAATTAACTTCTACTGTAAGCTCTGTGTTACTAATGTGTGCACAAAGATGGCCGTTGAAACGGGGTTGCATTGTACACCCAAAACGGGTAACCAGTCATGTTCGGCCAAAGACGAAAGCAATCGCTTGTTCTGGACAATTTATATCGTGGAAATTAGCCTGGCCTATAACCTTGGGCGGCCACCATCCATCGGTGAAGAACATATTGCTACTGAGCTACCAAGGCCCACGAACGAGAATCTTCTCAGCCTACATCACATCAAACATCGTCAGATCCAAAGCAGGGTCGTTGCTCAAGTATATAGTGTGAATAATCGCAACAGAAACATGTCGACTGAGCAGACTCAAATATTGATCTCAAATTTGCAACAAGAGCTCGATGAGTGGCGCATCAACATACCACTTATGTCTCATGCAGAAGGGCAACATCCCTATCCCTATAGGTACGAATAAATGTGCTTGCAATAAAAACTTCATCTGCTAATATCATCTTTTGAAAGCTACTGGGAGCGCCTATATCATGGCACAACATTCGTTCTACATAGACCAAGTCCACTCTGCCCGAGTCCTCCTGCCCAGTCCCTGGAGCGATGCATTAGATCCGCGGGAAGCTATATCGACGATGTACTAAAAGTACTGAGAGTTACCAACGTACCGCTTTCCTGGATGCTAGTCCAAGGAGTTTTGTTCGCGGGATTGACAATGCTAGTAACAGCCAGAACAGGGCTGCGACGACTTCTGTCACATGTTGGGGCGCCATTTCTGCTTATTGACCTCCACTCATGGACTAGAAATTGTTCCATCTGTCTCGCTATAATGAACGAAAGACTACGGGAAGATTTGGTATCCAAGCTGGATTCTCAATTCGAGCTACTCGCAAATGATACGCTTAGAATAATCTCTGCCAGTATAACATCCCATACGACAAAGGCCTCCTCTCGCAGCCCAGCGTTTTCGGCAAATCATGATATAGCAGAGAATGCCCTGGGATCTGATCAAATTTTCACAGCTGATACATCAGATTTCAACTTGAACTTGGCGGAAGATTTGAACTATTTCGATATATTTAAAGAGTTCATGGGTCAGGATCCTACGCAGACATTTTGGGATATGTTTCCATATGAACTTGGTCTGGATGCTCCACCAGGCCAGCCAGGAACGGAGGAGGGATTACCATCCATAAACTCAACAGAATTGCTCACAAATGAGTTATTCAAGTAGAAGGGAATTTTATAAAAATATCTTAATAGGAAAGTTTCCAATCATTCAGTGGTCGAATCAGAAATGTAAGCTATTTAGCCACTGACTTATGCCACTGCCCGGAGCTTTCCTACAGCCTTCCGTATTGCCAATATGGATTCATCGAGCAACTGTAGCGCCAAAGGGGTCCTTGTGTCGGAGGCTAAAGCAAGGGTTTCATATCCACGCTCATATCTTTCAGCATGGCTTTGAAAGTAGAGATAGCTTGTGGCCATTCGCAAGCGATATCGGCCGCCGATGAACCCATTATCGTCTTCTCCGAAAACGGATCCTGGGAGAGCCGCAACACCGCACTCTTCAATAAGCCAGTGCGATAACTGTTGACTGGTGACAATACCAAGGGCCTCAAGCTGCTGTGTATAAGGGTGGAAAGACGGATACACATAAAAAGCACCCTTTGGCTCTGCAACCGCAAGACCGCACTCACGTAAGGCGTTGTACAAGGCCAACGTGCATCGCTTGTGTAGTGCAACAACTTGACTGCGATACAAGTCCATCTCTGGGCTGGTAGCAAATGCAACAGCTGCGGCTTCTTGTGCTGGAGCGGAGGCGGCAGACCAGCATTCGGAAGCATATGCTAATATTGCCGATTGCACCTTTTCTCCAAACCCGTTGTTGGGGAAGATCGCATACCCTACTCTCCACCCTCCGGCAGAATAAGTCTGGAATTTTGTTAGTCAAAAGACCTCCATTTCAATTGCTTCATGCGAAGGAATGTGTGTGTACCTTGGAAAGTCCGCCGGTTAAGATCTTCTGGCCGTCGTCGAATTGAGAACCCGAGCAAGGAGTAGCGCCATGATTTTCAGAAAAGCTTATATCTGCGTAAATCTCATCACTAATGAGAGTGATATTGTGGCGCCGACAAAAGGCTGTGATAATGTCGATGTCCTGTTGGCTAAAAGCCTGACCAGTTGGATTGGATGGACTGTTAATGAGCATAATTCGAGGGTTTCCACCTTCACTGACACCTCTTTCAAAAGCCATTTCAACAGAAGATTCTTTGCAACTCGTTAGTTAGATGAACTTCACATAACCCAACTGTGAGAAGTAGCTTCGAACCTGTGATGGTATGGCGATCGACTTCATCCGTTTCAACCCAAAAGACTCGTTTACTCGCATGCAGAATTTGTGGTTCGTAACTAACCCACGACGGTCGCGGCAAAAGCACATCTCCTTGAAGAATATCGAAGAGCGCAAACAACAATGGCTTCGATCCTGGAGCTATTACCACCTGGCGTGGATGAATTTTATGATTGAGACGACGAGATTGAAACTCAGCAACAGCCTATGTTATGAATTAGCGCGAGAGAACTAGCTTCTCCATTACCAATATACATACCTCTCTCAATTTCATCAGCCCCGCCACAGGGAGGTAGCTGGTGATATCGCTGGCTTGCCTGTGAGCCGCAATAACGCTCTGCTGGATGGGAAAGGTGGCTTCTCCAAATCCCAGATGGACAACTTTGTGCCCTTTAGCTGCTTGCCGATGAACAAGCTCATTGATTTCCAGTGTGGCAGAAAGGCGTAGTTGACTTGCCAAGGCAGTCAATATGCCAGAATCAGCATTATAGGAGCCCATTGTAGCTTTCGACTTGCTCGCAAAGATGAGAAACGATGTATCTCGAATGTCAAAATTATATACCGACGTAACAAACATGTTTGAAAATTGCTTCATTTTATATGCAAGTCTACGCTCTTATTGTTTACATCAGTTCGGCTGTAAAACGCCGAGAGCCAGCTGTGATTGTGGAGATGCCGGTGTGGCGGCGCCGGGCGACTTTCTTTCTGCCATGTATGTAGATCGGCTCCGCGCTGCATCTCAATTTATGTCCAGCCAATCGATAGTAACTATATAACGTAGAATGCCTTAATTAGGACTCGAGATTAAGGCTGTGCATTTTAGCCGCTATTGTCCAAGCTTCTTGTCTTATTGGTGCCTCATCGCCTTTGGAACAAGACCATGTTGTTGATCACAAACATAGAATGGCAGAACTATCGCAGCCCTTGATAAAACCCTTTCCAAGCATACGACTTAGAAAAGGAGCGATTTTATACCTGCGCAGCAAATGCTAATGGAGAGAGGGCGGTCTGATCAGCGATTGAGATGAAGAGCATGTGGGTTGCGTACCCGACGGTTTTAACCACAGCCAGGACAGGATACATGTAGGTAAAAATGCGATAACTACAGATACAACGACACACTCGTCACAATTATCCTTTTCAATTTTATCACTCAAAACTGCCGTGTCAAAATTTCTAGCAGCATCTGAAGTATTGATCGCAGCTATTCTTCAAGCATTGCAGACGATCAGAGATAAGCGTGGATATTTGTACTGAGATGGGTCGGTTGCTACATCGGGTATTTGATACGAATCATGTAGCTACTGAAATGGAGCAAAGAGCAAGGATTACAATAGACAAGATATCCGGAGTACTGCGGATGTATTTTTCTAAAGCACCCATACCTAATGGGGCTTTAACCAATATGCATGCGGGTATCCATGGGGGCCAGAATATCTTGGCTTTTGACCTAAATCTCACTAATCGTTCTTGGCTAAAGCACAGATACGAGTGTAATCAAGCCACCAATCTGATGCGTTGAAGCCAACTCTTGGCCCTGGACTAGAGGCGACAAATGTGTCCTATATCAAATATGATAAAAAGCTTTTCGTAGTGGCCGACGGTTTAATGGTTAATCCGATCCTTTGCACAATTTACAATGATGAGGTATGGAGAGGTGATCGAAAAAGAGTCCAGGCGGCCGCTCCAGAGAGTCACATACGGGGAAGTGGATGGGTGAACAAATGAGAAATGCATTCCCACCCTAGAGGAATCAAGATGCAAGATAGATGAATCGTTAGCATACGGTGAATCGTATTGGTTACCTATATGAAGCTTGTACCATACTTCGTAATGCACCAGTGATATTCATCTTCCACCAGCAATTCATTCTTAGCTCTGTGAAGTTCAGCTGATGTGTTTTTCGATTGCCAGCGACGATGACCGCCCACGAATGTCTGATATTCAAATAACCATACTCGGTATGATGAGTACCAACTACTTCAGAAATTTCCCAAGGCGCGTGATTTACAAGACTTCTGCTGCTATCGAAATACTATACTCGTACAGCTAACAGAGACAGGAGTACCACCACCCAACGCTCTTCCCCGAAAATTGCATGGTACCGACTGATCATTGCAATTTTCCGGTGGCAAAGGGGCAAACGTGGTAGCACAGTCGTTTGGAATAGCTGAAAGGTGTAACAGCTACCCCTCTTGCCCTCGTGTCGTGAGTTGGGAGGGCATGCTGTGAATCATTCCGCCTCACTCGCTTCGAGGCAAAGGACTTGGGACAGTACCAGGGGTGGCACGCCAAGGAATGGCATGATAAGCCAAGAAATTGTGAGCGGCGAATCTTACCACGGCTATTCAATCTCTTCCATAGATGTTGTCTGGGCGAAAATTGGTGGAGAAAGCAGATTCCACTGCAAAATGTCCATAAACTGATTGTATTGCTAGAGCAAACGTTTACAGATTTTTGGCATAAGCTTCTTAGTTCAGATATAATCGCTCAATAACCGTTGGATATGGGCTTTGGATGCCAGTGTCCAATCACGATGCATTGTTGGGTGGAGTTGTCAGTGTAGAGGGTCAGTGTAGAGGGCATCTTTGCTGTTCACCATGGTTAGCTTGCATTCCTCACCCTTTGACCGGCCTATCACGTAAGTTATAAATAGGTAACCGCTTGATGGAAATTTTCATAAGTACTCCGTACATACATAGCGTAATCTTCCGAGCCTGAGCTTAATTGATGGGTAACACCATTCTTAGCGATGCCTCGGATGTTGGTGCAACCTCACAGGATTTCGACCAGGTTTCCTGCTTTGCGCCATAATCCAGAACAACTGATAGGCTGCGTCTCGACCCAACACGCATCGTGCCTAAGCCAATTTGAATGCAAATCTGCCGAATCCTACAGGCATGCGGCAATAATTGGGACCAATGTTCTCATCCTGGGAATCTAGCACATGGCTGACCTTGCCCTGGTCGTACGCTGAAGGATGGGACCTTTTGATGGCCTCGGATGCTTGAATACCAAAAGTCCTCCGCGGCCCGATAAGACCAATAGACAAACAGAGATCAGTGTTAGTACCAGTGGATGCGACTACTCCCGTCAGATACAGTAGAAACAAGAAACTTGCCCAACGTGCTAGTCACTGGCATCGCAACATCCGTATTCTCCTGACCGTGGCAAGGTGGCAAGGGTGACCCCCAAACCAGTGTGGCAATTGCGGAGAGATGTAACCCAAGTTAGATGTGCTGCATTGTTAGCTTGGACCAGTCAGCCTGCTCATGTACAAAGACGAGATCTGGAGTGTCACTGGAAAGCTCGACAAGAGAAACAAAGATCGGGATGCCCGGTCTAGCGCATATGCTTTACCAGCTGGGAGCGGTCAGAGAATTATCATCCAACCAGAGGCCATGAAATGTCACTGTTGACGTTCAAATAATCAACTTCCGATGTCAAGGCATATCTGTACCCATCTAAACGAGTCAGCCTGACATGTGAGATAAATTGTGAGACTCTCAAAGGGCCCTTACATGAAGGCAATATTCGTTCCGCAAACGCCGCTTTAGCGGCTCACCTGATGGTGCAACGAAAAGGTCCCGGGATACACTACTGGATTGGTTCTGCTCCCCTCTCCCCTCTCTGCCCAACGGCACACTGGCCATCAGATGATGCGCGAATATGTCCGTTGGATGTCTTGAATTCCCCGGGCGCGCAATTTACACGGAGACTCGATCACTCTGAGGTCTGCCGTCACATTGCGTTATCTAAGTGTCCTAGACCGGGGTCCAACAGACTTACATAACCTTATCTACCAAACTAGCCCCCGGGACCTTTCAAGCGTCTAACACGATTGCTAGCCAGAAGCGGAAAGTCCGTGCCATTTTGGTGTTTGTCTTCAAAAGTACCTGCCCAAACATGGGTAGTGTTGCTTGGGTAGCATTCTAGAGCACTTAGCCTGTTGATGGCACAAATTCTCACCCGCATTACACCACCGGCCTGGACCCCATAGCAATCCGAAAACATGGAACCATTGCTCCATGATACCTTGATATCACATATCGTGGTTGGCATGGCGAGAATGGAAAGTGATATAGAGGCGGGTGTTGCCAACGGCCTCGAGCCTGGTTTGGCGCGGCGTTTTGTCTTGAGTTCCTCAGGTGATTGCTATTCCAAGCTCTTTGCCCATCATGACGGCCTCGATAGCAGACGACTCCGTTGTTGTGGAGGGCAGGACCCCTACCCACGAAATCAGTGATGAGAAGATCGCTGCTGGCGAGGTGTACTCTGAGAAGAAGGCCTTGGACCCTGAGATCACCATTGCTCCTCCTTTGGACAGCGACGACTACGATGAGAAGGACAATGCCAGTGATGATGTTATCATTGTTACTGGTGCCGACGCATCAGCTCATCTGATTCCGCTGCGAGATGATGGCGAGCCCGCCTTGACGTTTCGAAGCATGTTCCTGGCTACATGTCTGTCGGCCTTTCAAGCTGTCATGAGTCAAATCTACCAGGTTCGTTCTGTCCAATTTCAAATTCTAATGGAAAGTCAAATGGAAAGTCAAACACCAGCTGACCTTGGAAAAAAATCAAGTTCAAACCAACCGCGGCAACAATCTCGGGAACCTTCATCGTCCTCATCGCCTACTTCGTTGGTAATGCTTGGGCTGCATTCCTCCCTCGTGGTGACAAACTGAGGGCTCGATGGACAGCCAAGGGTGGTCAGGGAAAGCCTCCTTTGTGGATCACCATCGCTACCTTCATCAACCCTGGGCCGTGGAATCTTAAGGAGCACGCTGTGTGTTCCATTACAGCCACCTCTGCTTCCAACGCTGCTGCCAGTATCACCGTCTTCACTGCCCAGGATCTCTTCTACAACCTGCCTTTGAGCGCCTCCACCGTCGTCTTGAGCACCATCTCCATTGGACTCTTTGGCTATGGTATCTGCGGTGTGTTGCGTCCGATTGCCGTATGGCACGTCGAAGCAGTCTACTGGAGTACTCTTCCTACGGTCAAAACCCTCCAAGGACTTCACTGGCAAAGCCTGAAGGGCTCCAAGCCTCTCCGATTCTTCTGGTACAGCTTTGTGGGCATGTTCATTTACGAGTTCTTCCCTGCGTACATTTTCCCGTTCCTGAATTCCATCTCTATCCCCTGCTTGGCCGCCATGCACGCTACAGGATCAAAGGCTGCCATCCTCACCAACCTGTTCGGTGGTGCTACCAACAACGAAGGATTGGGACTCTTTAGCTTCTCGTTCGATTGGCAATACGTAAGGCAACCATATTTCCGAGAGCAACTATAAACCTGAGCTGACATTGGCTAGATTACTTCTTTCAACACCTCTCTGCCGCTTACACTGCAGGCCCATGCTGCTGCTGGATTCATTGTTTGCTACGCGGTGGTGCTCGCCATCTATTATACTAATTCATGGAGCGCCAAATCCCAGCCATTTATGTCGACGCAGCTTCGATCCGAAAACGGTACCAAGTACCCTGTTTCAGAGGTGTTTGTTGGCGGTGTGCTCGATGAGAGTGCTTTGCAGAAGTATGGTATTCCTAAGCTGACTGGCAGCTTCGCTTATGCCATGTTCATGGCCAACGCTGCTGTACGTATCCCTCTTCTATGATACTTCATTGTATCATCATCCTGCATCTCTTCTACGACTTGGACTAACCCTTGTATAGATTGGTGCCTTGGTTGCCCATTGCTTCCTGTTTTGGGGCGGAGATGTTAAGAAGGCATACAAAAGTTCGAGGGAAGGTCGATATGATGACCGACATCACGCACACATGGCTGAGCACTACAAAGAGGCACCGTGGTGGTGGTACATTGCTGTCCTCGTTTTCAGCTTTGTTCTCGGTCTCGTCGTCGTTATCAAGGAGAACATCACTCTTCCTGCTTGGGCCTACGTTGTCGCCCTCATTGTCGGCATCTTTATCGCACCCTTGGTAAATATCTCCATCCTGGCGCTTTTAAATTATGTGGTGTCTAACCTTGATAACAGAGTACCATTCTATACTCTCGCTATGGTAACGGTATTGCCACCAACAACTTGTCCAAGATGTTGGCTGGTTTGATGCTTCCTGGTCGCCCCGTCGGCAACATGTACTTTGCTGCTTGGTCTCACAACGTTATCTCCAACTGTGTCAACTTGTGCAATGACCTGAAAATGGGCGAATACCGTATGTCACATGTCTCTAGGCAAATTTAAGCTACAAATCACTGACTTCTTCTCTTAGTTAAAATCCCACCTCGTGTCATGTTCCTCACTCAAATCTACGGTACCATTCTTGGTGGTTTCGTCAACTATGGTGTCATGATTTCCATTGTCAACAGTAACCGCGAACTTCTTATTGATAGCAACGGTAACGCTTCATGGAGTGGCGCAACTATCCAGTCATACAACACCAACGCTACTTCCTGGGCCCTGGCAAAGTATCTCTACAAGACTGGCGCAGAGTACGAGATGGTGCCCATCGGATTGGCTATTGGTGCTGGAGTCGTTGCTCTCCACCGCATCTTCGTTTACGTGAGTACACACTTTTCATGTTATTCCCCATCTTGGTCTTACAAGACGCTAATCACAATCTCGATAGTTCGTTCCCAAGATCCGAGGCTTCGATATCAAAAACGATATCAATCTCCCCCAGTTCATCCAATACGCTGGCTACATCCCATACAACCAGTCTCAAACCTGCGTTATCTGGAGCCAGCTTATTGCTGGATTCTTCACGCAGTTTTATCTCCGAAACTACCGCCCTCGCATTTTCAGGGATTATTCGTACTTGGTCACTGGTGCCTTTGATGGTGCCAGTCTCACAGTGCTTTTCATCCTTTCTTTTGCAGTCTTTGGGGCTGGTGGCCCTGCGGTTCCCTTCCCTTCATGGTGGGGTAACCATGTCGACGGCTACTATGATTTCTGCCCTGTGGCCGAGTAGAGTACAACAATCGTGGACACTATTAACCTCATCCATAATGGATTTGCTATCGATGCTCCAAAGGTTGAAAACTTTGATCTTTTTGACTTGAGCTATCTCTCCACCACTTTTCTGGAAGGACGTGGCTCAAGGATAAAACACCTACACTAGCTAGATACGCATTTCGGGCGATGGTCTGTGATATCCGCCCAGGATTTAGAGCTCGGGTAGCGGTAACAATTTACGAATAATTAATGAAAGAAAATTATACCCCTAATTGAAATCTGCTCTTCTGTCATGTGTATTACAAGATTATCCTGGAGCATTAGTGCTATAGCATTCATTGGTTAAAGACGTAGGGACCTGTGAGTATAAGGTAGTGAGCTCTAACGCTGCTCTACTTGCAAACAGAAACTGCACTAGTCTCAATGGATTTCCAATGCTATTGCATCTCCATGGAATTACATACTGAATCCATCTTAACGCGATGGATTCCTCGGCCCTCGTTCCGCTGTCACTGAAACGATACCCGGCCCGGGTGGCGGTTGGGCGTTCAACTTATACGAACTCCACCAGACGACAAAGATCCCTCCATGGCGCGCATCACGCCATAGCGGCTACCATTCAATAGTTGGCCTGAAGTACTCCGTACCTCAGAGTGGGAAAGAGAATGCGAGCGCGATTATTATTTTTTTCAAGTAAAAAATTGGCATCTTTGGTGTTCCGTGTACATGCCAAATGAGTGTCGCCATTTTACCAAGACGTTCTGGAGCGCCAACGTCGTAACCGAAGAATTCGGGGAAAAGGAAATGTCACTGATGGCTAAAAGCTCACCAGCTTTCACATTCTGTTTGTAATCACTAATAATACAGAGCACAGCCAGAATGATCCATCAAAGGCCATTTCACTACTCTCAATGCTCGCAGAAGTTCCAATTCGCTATATGGAGCTGCTCTTCCGTACTGTCCTGTTTCATTGATCTCTCGTCCATTAGATCAAGGCGAATGCTCTTCGCTTCCTCCAAGTCAAAAGGCAAGCCAGTTGCATCATCAAGAATGAGTTGCGTCAGCTCGTTGGGCAGTCGAGCGGCTAGAGCCTCCTCAACGCGGGTTTCCTTAGCCCACCAGTGACGCTGTTGAGGTGGCACATTGGCTGTGGAAAGAACCGGAATGGCTGGATCAACCAAGAAAAGAGCAAGTATTTTGCGATGGCCTGGCCGCGTTGGGTCCCCAAGACGGAACGGCGATACACGGTGTTGAAGGAGATTTGGAAAGAAAACGGCACGAGTATCGGCGTCTCCGGTGGAGGGACTGTTTGTAGTCAAAACACCGCCAACATACTGCAACGTATCACGGTTAGTGTTTGGGATGGCGAATGTTCTTTCGATCGGAAAATGTTGGCTTTGATCGTAATTGAGGTTGACAACCAATTCTTCGCGATCAGCCGGTGTGCGGAAATCCAAATGGCAATCAGTAATGTTTTCCGAGTCGTAGTAAAAAAGCGCAGTTGCGCATATACGCTCATTCAACATGCCCTCAGTATGCCACGACCCGCCTTCGAATTCGGTAGGATCATTGTCCACGTATATGCTACGATAGTCAGGAAGGTCCAGAGACAAAGGTCGACCATTGCTGGATGAAGCATCAGAGTCAGATGGAGAATCCTCCGAAGAACTCGGCTTATAGGAAGATCCATCCAAGTCCGGATCATTCCCGCTAGCATTGGCAGTAGAGGTATACCAGTCGGCAAGCTCTTGAGATGCCTCAAATTTGAAATCTGGATCCTCAGGTGTAAGGTGGACATTGGCAAGCTTGACGATCACTTGGACACGAGATGCGCCATTGAAGAAGCCGCTCGATTTGACATCCGATGGTTTCAGTCGAAAGTAATCATCCCTTGTAGAATCTGGTTCCGGTAAATCCAACTTGTGAGTCTCGACTAGCCACGCCATGTCACGCTTGAATCGTTCAGAAGAACGATACTCTTCTGTGTAGGGTTCGTTTTCATCGCGTTGCGGCTCGCCCTCGTCAAGCGGCCGGTTCCACGGCTCGCACGCATACCTTTGATTGCAAATTTCGCTAGTTGTACATTTCGATCGGGCTTCTCTTGTTTTGAGGCGTTGAATCTCAAATTCTGTCGGCCATCGGTAGATGACATCCCAAGCGGGCAGGGCTTTCTCGATGAAGCGTTCGATAATGGGGTACAAATTCGCGTGTTCTACTGGGTGCAAGTTGTTTATGTAGCTGTCAATCTTCGCAGTCTGACCATCTAGCACAACATCACAGGGAAGCCACTGATACTTATATGAAAGAGAAGGGACCGGGTTCTCTAAGGGGCTTGACCAGTCGCTCCCTGGGCCAGCAATCTCAATTGGCTTTGGTGCTGGAAGAACCGTGCCAACACCACAGTGGTTCAATGCATTCTCAAGATTGATTCGCTTATCGAGCAATACGGGAGTGCGGCCGTATATGAATGGCCATAGAGATGGGTGGACAAGATCGAGAACTTTATGGGTACTGCCCGGATGCCAGTCTTTTTCTTCATCTGGGACGTTCTCAAGTACCGCAGCTGCTGTGCGGAGGGCATCCCGCAAGCTTTCAGGGACAAGGGTGTCCGATTTTATGACACAGGACGAGTAGTCGAAAATGGGAATGAGCCCTGTCTTCTTGAACAAGTCCGCTTTGTTCCGTAGCTCATCAATGCACTAGCATTTACCAATCAATTGGACGACCTTCCATCGGAATCAGATACAGACTTACCGCATCTGCCATAGCAGGTGTGAAGTCCGCGTACGTGCGGTATTCTTCCCAGTTCATTTGTAGAGCCTCTTGCTTCCACTTATTGGCGATATCGGGATTGAATACTTTTTCCCACCACTGAGGTTTGTTTGTCACCTCTTCTATAAATTTGAGCATACATACTTCGCGAATGAGAAGTGTTGCGGCTTTCCAATCGTAGTCGTGAACTCCAATTAGAACGGGGAAACGCTCTTTTTCGGGCGGCATGTGCCCCAATGGGAGTCCAAACCCAGGAACTTTGAGATATAATAATGCCTACCATCATTGACATGGCCTGATGGTTAGCTACGGATCTTGGCTATTGTGCATAGAAAATATTTGCATAACGATGGAGAAATGGATGAAACACCTTATTACGTTCTTCAACAGCCTTATTGGCATCTTCAATAGCTTCGTCAACAAGCGGGCGAAGAATCTCGTTGAGGGAGTCTTCGGACACATTCTCAATCTGTTGAGAGGTCCGAAACCATCTTTGAGCGTCCCAAGCACGGGGTTTGCAGTCTTTCGACTGAATCCAGTCCTTGAAAGCCCTGATCTGTTGATCCGTTGGTACAAAGTCAGGAGGATCCATGCTTGCAACTGATCGGGATATGTTCCTGGGGAGTTGTTCGGCACTGCGTGTCTCTCTGGAAAATATCTCAAGTAGCGGAGTTTAAGGGCGTGAATAGACACTAGGCTAAGCCGCTTCTGCCTAATTAATTCCCATGAATACGTGCAATTATACCGACTCCTAGTCATTCTTTTGTCGTATTTAAGTACACAAGACAAATTTATTCTCCGGTAATCTCCCTCCGCCGTATGGCGTATTGTGTTTCATGGGTTGGTTGACCTTCATTTGCTCTTTATGCTAAACGGAGCGGCTGTTACATTCACAGGTAGAAGTTACCCCGCAATTTACGGAGTATTTGTAGGTGGGTTTTAATAGATCTCTGCACATGGTGGGGGTTTGGCATCTTGGAAAGCTCAAGGTCCTCGCCCTCTGCATTAGAAACCTCAATGTTCTCAATGCTAAGAAAGTTTCAATTCGCGAACCCTAAAGCTAGTCCATACAGGATACAGTTACAAAAGGCGCAAGAGGTTTTCCTGTTGGACAACACAGCGGACAATTTATCTGATAGGACTAATACATTTGAGCTAGCTAGATGCAAGCGTTTAAAGAGGCCCTTGCTCCCGATAAAACGTTGTACTACTGAACGGATGGTTTGGCATCAAGGAATGAGTTGCAATTCAGAATTCGCCCATAGGAAGATGGCTTAAGCCAACCCCAAGATTACAGAGGCTGGTCAATCTGCTCACCGCTGTTACAGAATCGTTATCTCCTTGTTGTTGCCGGCAGGGATGGTACCGGGATTCTTGATTCACGGGCAAGCATCGGATGCTCGGCTCAGCTATCAATTGGATAATGGCGAGATAATTCTCGCTGCGTAATTCACCGAGCATTTGTTGATCGACAAGGGAACGTTGATTTAGGATTCGAGAAATGCAACCACACTCCTCCTTCGCTGCTTTAGCAGCTTTGAGCCATTCCCTTCGCGTCTGCATCTTATACTTGCCAAGGCGTGAAGCTAGGAGCACGAAAAATTACAGCTATTTCACCCAGCACGGGTCCCTATGCAAGATCCATTGATCGGCTAACTCAAGTCTGTTGAGTTGATTGGGCGTGGCATGAACTGGTAGATCAAAGCTTGAATAGAGTCATGCATTTATTCAACGTCATTACGGCCGTAGGTCTACTGTCCCCATTGGTAGGAGCAATCAATGCTTCAAAGCCCACTGCCTCAACTACAGGCCAAACTGCTGGTATACAAGCCCTTGTGAAGCGACGAATACCGCAACATGAAAATTCTTTCATCTTTTCTTTGACCAACGACACCGCGTCGGCAGTAGATAACTACACTGTTGTGAGCACCGTCGATGGTAAGATCCATGTGCAGGGAACATCGCTCAGTTCTATTGTATACGGGTAAGGCTAGATTCATCTACCATGAGTGGTTGTGATTGATGCTTAGAGATTGAAAGACGTCTAATATATGACAATAGCCTTAATTCTTACCTCTCAGACGTTGTTCACGTCGATATCTGGTGGCATGCCGGTAGCCAACTCCAAGATGCACCCGCGAGTCTGCCGAAATTGTCATCACCATTGAATGGACAAAGTATTGTTCCTTATCGCTATGAGCTGAACACAGGTGCGTATGAGAATGGAAACAGACTTCAATCTTCCAAATTTCAGCAGAAAAAGGTAACATTTTAATTTAGTCACCACTTCATACACCGCCCCATTTTAGACTTAGGAAGATTAGGAATTGCAATTGGACTGGATGGCTCTTCGTGGCATCAACATAGCTCCAGCATGGATTGGAATTGAGAAATTCTTCATTGAAGTCTTCCGAGAAGTCGGCTTCACGGATGATGATATTTTAGATTTCTTCACCGGTCCTGCATTTCTCGCCTGGAACCACTTTGGCAACTTACAAGGATCGTGGTCTTCCAATCTACCCTTTGAATGGGTCGACAACCAGTTTGCTCTTCAGAAAAAGATAGTAAAACGCATGGTAGAGCTGGCAATAACGCCCATTTTGCCTGCATTTCCCGGCTTCGTCCCTCGGGCGGTGTCTAGTGTACTACCTGATGCTCAGGTCCTCCATAGCATCCAGTGGGTGAACTTTCCTGAGGAGTACACTGAAGACATACTACTTGATCCCGTTGATCCTCTATTTGCGCAAATGCAACTGAGCTTCATCACGAAGCAGCAGCAGGCATACGGAAACATCACGAACTTTTATACTCTTGACCAGTTCAACGAAATGACACCTCCTTCGGAAGACCTAGATTACCTGAGAAATGCGAGTTCAAACACTTGGAAGGCACTCAAAGCGGCGGACCCCAACGCCATCTGGGTGTTTCAGGCGTGGCTATTCGCGCAAAACACCACTTTCTGGACGAACGACCGCATTGAAGGATACCTTGGCGGCGTCACTACCGACAGCGACATGCTGATTTTGGACATTTGGTCAGAATCGATACCCCAATGGCAGCGTGCTCAATCGTACTACGGCAAGCCTTGGATCTGGTGCGAACTGCAAATTTACGGTGCCACCATAAATATGTATGGCCAGATTCAGAATGTCACCAAAAGCCCTATCCTGGCACTACAAGAGTCGAAATCGCTCGTTGGGTTTGGCCTGTCGATGGAGGGCCAGCAGGGTAATGAAATCGTCTATGACCTTCTGCTTTCCCAAGCCTGGAGTAGCGATTCTATTGACACGAAGGCCTATTTCAAGAGCTGGGCTGCTGCACGATATTCGAGCAGCAAACGACCTGCAAGTATTTACGCTGCATGGGAGACGGTCCGCACTACTGTTTATGATAACACCAATCTCACTTTGATGCCATCTGTACCGAAGTCAATCATTGAGCTCATTCCCAGGACGACTGACATGGCTAATATTATCGGAATCCTGGGTACCAAACTGACATATGAACCGGCTACTATGGTAAACGCGTGGAAGTAGCTCTACCAGGCTGGCTTACAGGATACATCACTCTTCAACAATTCGGCATACCAATACGACATTGTCGATTGGACACGTCAGGTTTTGGCCAACGCATTCATACCCATATATGAGAAGATTCTGCAGATCTATAACATGCCTAATCAGACTGCTGAAAGCCGAGCCACACAATTAAGGACACAGGGAGAGCAGCTTACCCGTCTACTCCTTTCCCTCGATCTTGTTCTCTCGTCGAATAAAAATTTCCGTCTTTCGACTTGGCTCTCAGAAGCTCGTGCATCCGCCCCAAGTCCAGCATATGCTGACTTTTTCGAGTATAAAGCTCGCAATCAAATCACTGTCTGGGGCCCTTCAGGTCAACTCATCGATTATGCGTCGAAGGGATGGTCTGGGCTTATGAAGACATATCACTTAAAGAGGTGGCAAATGTTCATCGATTATTTAGTTGCCACAGAACCAGCGAATTACAACCAGACTGAATTCCAGGACGTCTTATTACCTTGGGAGCTATCATGGGCTAACAGCACCGGAAGCCAACCGGACGCGTCAGACGAAGACCTGGATGTAGAGGACATTATCCGGAAAATGGCAAAACAGTGGAGCGAGATATTTGCGTAAATAAATGTATATACACTTCGCTTTACAATTAGAGACTTTTATAAAGAATTGGTGTAGCAACATGCTTAGTACCAATTATTCATAATATGGTTCATTCCTGACAGTGCGTACATATCTCTTTAGTCACTAAAGTTTAGTTACAGCCTTCTCAGCTTTCTTCTTTGCTAACCATGCATTCCGACATGATACTGTCAGTGCCTGTGGATTGATGTGAGTCGGGTACTTCTCGGACATCCTTTGGAATAGCTCAATTGCATCTTTGGTCTGCAAAAGCATCTTCTCAAATGTCTCGATATACTCGATTGTGGCCTGCACGTTATTGCTCCCATCAACAGCTCCATCTCTCTTATGCCCTGCAATCACTGTATGTGGATTCAATTTTGCAATCTTTTCGAGACACGCAAGCCAACTGCGGCGTCTTTCAGGTGTAGCTGCTTCTCCCAAGAATGGATGCACATCATTGTAGACAATGTCGCCGGCGACAATTAAATTGAGATCAGGAATGTGTAAGAAAGTGGTGTCAGTTGTATCCGAGTCGCCAGCTTCATGAACCTGCAGAACATGGCCTTCGAGCGATAAAGTATTACTATCTCCAAGCTCCTCCGGTAACACGCTGTCGTGGTCAATCTGATTAGGAAAGAGATTTCCCCACGCACGTTGGAAATATTTTGGTTCAAGCTCTTTCTTCATTCGAGCGATTACACGCGGAGTGGCCAACGTTTGAAAGCCAGGAAAGCGTTTGCGGAGAATTTTAAGGCCAAGAAAGTGGTCACCGTGTCCGTGAGTAATGTAGACGGTTGTGAGTCGCTTCCCAGGAATTGTCCTTTCAATCCAGTCGGCCAAATCATTTGCCTGCTGAACTGTCCACAGGGTATCGACAAGAATCGCCTCACGCTCTCCCGAGATTAACGTGGCAGTTGTAGGAGACCAATGCGATTGTTGACCCGGTTTCCCGCCTGGAATAACGAAAGGGATAGACGGGGTTGTGAAAACGTCTGCTCGTAATGGAGACATTGCTATTCTTGTGGTTATTGTTTGCAGGAAGGAAAAGAAGAATGCGAACTACAGCGAGATTGCAAGAATAGAGGATGCATCAAAAGACAAATTTGATGCAGAGAAAACTGTACAAAAGCGATGCAACTCACGTCATGCCATGCACTCACTTATATGGGAATATCACTCGGCATCTGAGAGGTAAGCGGGCCCATACCTCACAGCTTTCTGTTTTCCCTCGGGTATCCTGCGATGTGTTTACTAATCTCCAAATGAGGCCATCGAGGTTAAAGCTGGAAAGCCCAGTGAACCCTCGGTTTCTTGTGATTAGATAATCGCTGCTCATCACTTCAGAGTGCCTGCAGCACAAGAGAGATTTCCCATAACGTTAATCGAACTGCCCTCAAATTGAACAAATGAGCGACCTCTAAAGGTTCGTTTTCCATGGAGAGATTGGGGGGGGGTGAAATGGTGCCGTCGTTCGTTGAGTTTAAGATCGAAAGAGTGCTCTCGCCTAAAGACCGTATCCGAAACACTGCATCTGAACTCAACCTAGCCTCAGCGAGAAGACAGACTTAATGTTCTTTTTCCGCGTCACGAAAGATGCATTTTTTCCTGAGAGCAGACAGCATTACGACAATCCACCCTTGTTGGATTTGGACGGTAACGAGATCCTAAGTAAGCTTAAATATGAAACTGGTATCCTGTTAACGGTCTGTGTTCATTTGTTACGAACAAAGCCCTTTTAGCGTGGATACTCTCTGGCACTGGAAACCTTGGCGCTCTTTTTGCTGGAAGCTCTCTTCTCTTCTGCTAATGGCTCACTATAATTGACCCCCAAAGGGTGCTATGGGGGGAAAGCCTACTTGTTCTGTCCCAGTTTTATGTAACGTTGCCTTTTCCTAATAACTACGATTGGTAGTGACGTGGGCTACTTTGAACGCTATACGTAATTAGATAAACTATTCACTATAGCAGACATTGGCAGACAGAATGAGAGAGAACCTTAAGTTGTGAGGCTCTTTGTATGCGAGATCGGAAGCTTCTAGTGGACCCATCTCAAGTCTCGTTTTGGCGCACTCCACATTCTATATTCAGAGCATTAGAGCATACAAAACACCGACAATATGGCTCACCTGAATCTTTACTACTCGAATCATATCCCAACATCACCTTTATATCATCAATAGCATCGCAAAAGAGACACTCGATATGGCCGAAGGCATTCAGAATGGCGTTTTCCGGCGTAACAACACAGTGCCTCCCGCGGATAATGGAGTCATGACACTCTTTTCTCTAGCAGGCAAGACAGCGATAATTTCGGGTGCGGGGGGAGGAATTGGCCTGGCTGCGGCCAAAGCCTTCGCTGAAGCGGGTGCCAATGTGGCCATTTGGTACAACACAAATAGCGAGACTATCGAGAAGGCTGCTAGCATTGAGAAAGCCTTCAATGTCAAATGTAACGATACCAATTTTTATGCACACACGCTTCCTCGACACCAATCCCCGTCTTCCTTGACTGACTCAGAGCTGAATAGGCAGAGCATATAAAGTAGACGTCACATCATGTGATGAAGTGGAAGCGGCGGTAGACACAGTTGTCAAAGAATTTGGTGGACGTCTCGATGTATTTGTCGCTAATTCAGGTACCTCCTGGGGAGATGAGGCATTCATTGATGCGGACATTAGCAGATACCATAATCTCATGAAGATCAATGCTGATGGTGTCGTTTATTGCGCACGCGCTGCTGGCAAGCACTTTCGCCGCCAGAAAGTAGAGGGCACAACAACAGATGGATCAAAATTAACCAATTACTCAAGCGGCAGCTTCATTGCAACCGCGAGCATGTCAGGGCGCATTGTTAACATTCCTCGGCGTCAGGCGGCATACAATGCCTCCAAAGCGCACGTTATTCATTTATGTAAGTTTTGCCCACCCGTCATTTCGGTCTTGAAATCCTTTTCTTTATTTTTTTTTTGGTATGCTGAAACTTATTCCCCACAGGCAAATCCCTTGCGATTGAATGGCTTGGGTTCGCTCGCGTCAACAGCGTATCTCCTGGATATGTACGCACTGGCCTATCAGGGACAGTAGCCGAGGAGACTATGAACTCTATCAAAGATAAAATCCCAATGGGGTAAGTAAAGATGATGAATTATCCGAGAACCGAGGATGCATGCCTAACAATTTTAGGCGTTTTGGCGAGACGGTTGAGATGCAGGGCATCTATCTTTATTTAGCCTCTGATGCTTCCTCTTACGCAACTGGAGCCGATTTTATCGTTGACGGTGGTTATTCTGCTCCATAATTATTATATATAATGCATGGGGAGTGGTGTGGTGGGATTGTTATTAATATTCTACTGCTTTGGCCGTTATCTATGAGACAGCAGCCAATTTAGAGTAAAGTCATCACAAAATATTCCATCTACAACCGTTTTATAAGCCATCCTTCTACATGTTCACGACTCCAGCGTTTTGTTAGACTACAAAATGAATCATTTTTGAATACCTAGATTCTTATTTACCCAATATACAAACGTTAGTTGATCAGTGAGTCATTGGAGTGACTCCCTTTCAAATGTGCAAATACACGCGCCTACCCGGTACGTTCATCGCTCAAATTTGGCACAGTATCTACCTACAACATTAACTTGCCTTTGGTGCAGCTATCATATAACTTAATTGATGGATGACAGACGCTCGTCATCAGCGCACACGATTAAATCAACCGCGTCCCGACGCCGCTTATGTTGTTGTTGTTGTCGCCGCACTAGGATATCTGCTGGTCGCCGAATAGGCTATAGACTTTTCGGAATCTCGACTCTCTTAGTTATATGCTCTCAATGTGCACTAAGTAGGTGGCAGAAGACATTGGGATTATACTCGCCGCGATATACTTATTCTGGATGTATTGTGCAAGACAACAGCCCTGATGCCCGGCAATAATTGGCTTTGTTTACACAATGGTTCCGATATTGGTTCCTATTCATTTAGCGAAACAATTAAACGGAAGCGCCCCGGCAGCCAGTGTCTGTGAGTCATCGGCTGAGACTGGCTCCTTGGACTGATGCTCGGATGCCGGTCGTGGTCTGCGGAGATTCTTGTTTCATTGATGGTTGAATAAAATGAACCGCTATGAGAGGAATAACACACTGAAATAGGATAGACGGAATTGGAAAATCGGTTATGCATGATACTTTGCACAAACAGCGAAATCGGTTGTGGTTGGGCCACCTGGGTAATTCGGATGTCCGAAATTCTCAAAGGGCGCGGATGATTTCCGCGTCCGGAAATGGGCGCTTCATCCGAATCTCCTTCATCTATTTCTTTCACATCACCGCTTCGTTTGCATATACTTTGGTTTCAATGCTTAGGAGGTCAACTAACGCAATGGACTCCAAGGGGCTTGCCTCTGAATCTTCTATGGAGGTTCGTCAAGAGCCGCCTAACCCTGAAGAAAAGCCCAACGACGCTCAGCCATCTCCTGATGGAGGCTTGCAAGCATGGCTTGTTGTTTTGGGAGCGTTTTTTGGTCTGTTTATCAGCTTTGGATGGACGAACTGTATGTCTCATGCCATCATTGCTACTAATCGTACGGCTGATCGTTCTCAGGTGTCGGCGTCTTCCAGGAATACTATGAAACCCACCAGCTAGCATCATTGTCGCCGAGTACAGTGTCTTGGATCCCAGCATTGTCTATGTTCACAATCTTCATTGCAGTATGTTGATATACAGCCTGATTTCCACTATTCTTTTCGACTTGCTCTGATGCTCATATGTGCCTAGGGACCTTTTGTGGGACAGCTGTTTGACCATTTCGGTCCTAGAATTCTCCTGCTCCTTGGCAGTACCATCCATGTTTTTGGGTTAATGATGGCATCCATTTCATCTCGATATTATCAGTTCATTCTATCTCAATCCATCTGCAGTCCCATTGGCGCGGCCATGGTTCTATACCCTTCTTTCAGCTGTATCACAACATGGTTTCTGAAGAAACGCGCCTTAGCAATGGGCATCGCCGCCAGTGGATCTAGTATGGGCGGAGTCGTGATGCCTATTATGGTAAATCGACTTATACCCATTATTGGCTTTGGTTGGACAATGCGAACATGCGCGTTTATGATGCTGGGTCTCCTGATCATAACCAATTTGACAGTTCGATCACGCTTACGTCCTCAGCCGAAAAACTTCGGAATTGCATCTTTTTTCGCATCATTTAAAGATCCTCCTTTTCTCTTGTTAGCTATGGCCGGATTCTTCTACTCTATGGGTATGTTCATACCTATAACCTTCTTGGTCACATATGGTAGAAGTGTAGGGATGTCGCCAGAGCTGGCTGGGTATCTAGTTTCCATGTTCAACGGGGCAAGGTAAGTGACTACATCTCTATCAATGTGCACAACCTAGTCAATATTGCAGTAAACTAACGCTTTATTGGTGCTATAGCGGTATTGGACGTATTCTACCTGGATACATAGCCGATAAAGTAGGAAACTTTAACGTATCACTTTTCGCCGCATGTCTTTCAACAATTTTAGTGTTTGGAGTCTGGCTTCCTGGACACTCCCATGCAACTACGATAGTCTTTGCGTCTCTATTTGGACTTAGCACCGGAACCTATACAGCTATGAGTCCTGCCCTGGTGGCCCAAATATCCGACATACGCGAGATCGGACTAAGATCAGGAGCAATGTACGCATTCATGTCTATAGCAGCTCTTACGGGAAGCCCCATTGGAGGGGCCCTCATTACTGCAGCAGGAGGAAGTTATTGGAAATTGCAAGTTTTCACTGGAGTTATGCTTGCCGTAGGAAGTGCCTTTTATGGAGCTTCAAAGCTCTACCTGGCAAAAGGCAAAGTGTGGACAAAGGTATAGCGATAGAATATTTTTTTCTGAGAATGCCCAAGCAGCTGTTTGTTTGTCGGGGATGCAATTATGCAAAGCTTTGTTTAAATGATGCCCTCAACTCTGTTGGGATATGCCTATCATCATAATAGTGGATGCAGTGGCCGATACTAGGCGACTGCCTCTAGAGGCCTGTTGAGGATTAGGAAGATTTGAAAAGATGTTTTAATGATGAGACAGATGAAAGATGAGGAACATACATCCTCTGATCAATATTTAGGCATCCAACTTATACGTGCCTATATGCAAAATAATTAGAAATCAGTGTTGCACTGTGTTGGTGAGCTAACTGTTACTGGGAAATTCCAATTCCAGTAGTTGCTGTGTTGGGAAAAACTTCAAACCCCGTTTTAAATACTGGTTCGCTTTCATTCCGTCACCACCGTAACCATACAAAGGCATTTCTTGCTTTTGCACCGGTGAGTAATTCAGCGGCTGAATAATTGAGTGTTTCAACTGTATGCGTGATTTTGCAGTTCATCCGTTCGAAGGTGAGGAAGACGAATGGTCTGATGTGAAATTAGAGTGGCAACTCCTATGTAGATCGCCAATTGCGAAGGCTGCTCTGTGAACGACGAACATAAAAACTGAACATGCCGCAACATGTATGGAATTATTTGAACATGAAGGATCTCTTTCACACGCACCATTTTACAATTACAATCTATTCTATCACTACCTACGAGATTTTACCTCAGCCAATTCAATCCTAAAAGCCTGTCATGGAGCAACACATTGATGCTATGGTGGTTGGGGCAGGTTTCAGCGGTATATACCAGTTATACAAGCTCCGTGAGCTTGGTCTCTCGGTAAAAGCTGTCGAGGCTGCTCCCGAAGTTGGAGGTACATGGTACTGGAACAGATATCCAGGTGCAACGAGCGATACGCATAGCGAAGTGTTTCGCTATAGTTGGGATAAGGAAGATTTACTCACATATCCTTGGACAACTCGATATCTACCCCAGGCCGAAATTAAAGGATACTTGAAGCACGTGGTTCAACGCCATGATCTGGAGCAGTATATCCAACTGAATACTCGCATGGAATCGGCGCATTATCTCGACAACAGCTGGCAAATACGACTATCCACTGGCGAAACATTCCGAGCAAGATATCTCATCACGGCTCTAGGCGCTTTATCGAAGACTTATTTCCCTCAGATTCCTGGTCTTGACACCTTTACCGGCGAAATGTACCATACGGGGTAAGCAGGTTCACCCTTCATCTTTTGTGGCACTTTATTCGGCATTGTGACTGCTACTAATCTTGATGTGTCATTGCAGAAACTGGCCGGATACCCATGACTTTTCGAACAAACGCGTTGGAGTCATCGGAAACGGTTCTACCGGTGTCCAGCTCATCATAACGCTTGCTAATCAAGCCAAGCAACTGGTTTCATTCCAACGGCACCCACAACACGTGGTTCCAAACGGTGATGGCCAAGTTACGGCAGAAGATCGGAAACGCATAAATGAGAACTATGATAAAATATGGAAAAATTTCAAGACAAACATCTCCGGACATGCTATTACAGAGTCATCAATCCCGGCCATGAGCGTCACCGCCGAGGAGCGCGAGCGCGTATTTGAGCAAGTCTGGCAGACTGGCAACGGAATCAAGTTCCTCTTCGGTACTTTTGGAGATGTCGCCATAAGTGAAGAAGCGAACAAAGAAGCGGCAGACTTCATTCGCAGAAAGATTAAGCACATTGTCAAAGACCCCGTCAAGGCCCGCACTTTAACTCCGCCCGGTGGATTCAACCGCCGCCCAGTCACAGCCAACGGCTACTACGAGACTTTTAACAAAGAAAATGTCGACGTTGTGGATGTGCTAAATACGCCTATGGAAATCATTCCAAATGGTATTAAGCTCTCGGATGGTACAGTGTACAATCTGGATGTTATTGTATTTGCTACGGGCTTTGACGCTGTTGATGGCATGTACCATGAGATTTCGATAGTCGGACAGAACGGCCGGACGCTAGAAGATCACTGGGCCGATGGAGCGAAAGCATATCTAGCCACTACGATGAATGAGTTTCCAAATATGTTTGTGGTTAACGGGCCTCAAGGCCCATTGACTAACGTACCACCTCTCATCGAAACCCAGGTGGACTTCATTACAGGTATCATTGCTACTGCAGAAGCAAGCAGGGGAAAAATGGCAACTGAATCTCGAAACGGACATAAGCAGCTAGGGCTAATAATCGAAGTTACACAAGAAGCTGAGGATGGATGGCTAGCAAAAACTAATGAGATCGGCGCAATGACTGTGTTTGCCAAAGGAGGGTCATGGCTCACTGGAGCTAACGTCGATGGCAAGAAGCAGGCATTTCTATACTACATGGGAGGGGTAGGCAATTATAACAAGGTTGTTCAGGCTGAAATAGACGCAGGTTATCCTAGCTTCAACAGATTCTACTGATATTACGAGCAGGAAGAATGGGGCAATATGCTTAGAAGACAAGGCTAGGAGCTACAGCTGTTGTACCGGAATGGATCTTCATTTTCTTTAAATTGTCCAATATGTTCATTTCTATATTATGTACAATTGCTGAAATCAACTTCGATAAAATCGGTAATACAATTATATATACCACCTGTTGACTGGGCTATAAGCTGAGAGACGTTGTTTTGTTGGTAATTCCATTGCATAGAGGGTTGAGAGTCTGTTGTGGAATCTATATGTGACCAAAAGCGACTAAACTCGTGTGTATCCTCGTAATATATTATTTCGTTATTTAGAGAAGCGCTATCGTCAGCTGAAGGAGTCGTACAACCAGTCGAAGCCGATGGAACTTCTGCCAAAAACATCGTGGTATCGTTAGGCGTGTAGTGTGGACTGTTCGGAGGAAACACGTCGTACGATGGCATTGGTGACAGGTCGTGTATCCGATTTATAATACCTAGGTTGGCGGTCAAAGGAATGAACGAAGGCGCGTTGCTACGGCTGCCGAGCCGGAAGAGAGACTTATATCTACCCGATATCATTAGATAAGCCTTGCTGTGGGAGGCTACACCAGAGCCACCGATGAAAACATACCGATTGCGAATGTCTTGCAGAGATCGATCCATGAGCTCATGCATTTGTATCATCTTCCAATTGCTTCCATGTACACTATAAGCTTGTAGGAGACGCAGGTCTTCATCATGTGACCACTTCTGTCGTTTGATGTTGGGGTCCAAGTAGTTCTGCCACCTCGCGGCACATTCTAAGAAATTGTCTGGTTATTAACTGCCTGCAAACCTTGGTGTCTCAACGTAAAGAATACATACGATCCGCAGAACGCGTCTTAAGATATCTTGACACTTGAACCCATCTGCGTTTTGCGTGATTAGAATGTTCCACATTCCACGGGTGGCCTCGAGTTGGCGGCAGCCCCTTACCGAGAGCCAAATTGCTCGAAAGCATCGCGCAACTGTGTATCTTCACTAGAGCTCCATTCGCCCTTCTTTATGCAGCCGTTGAGTCTCACCCAGCGTTTTCGACAGTCTTTGTTCGATCTACCGCTAATAATGGCCGCGATAGAACTCCAGTCTCTGGGCTGTCCTAACACTTCTGGAGAAATCGTAGTGTTAATACGACGAGAACTTAACGAATTCTCACTCAGACTCACTTACCCTGCGCCCTTACTTTGCGTATTAGGATCTCATCTTCGGCATTTGTCCAGCGTCCACTTTGGCGTCGAGATCCTGTCCGACTCATGGCTATGCGAAGCTTTATGGAATTGGTTAAGTAATTCGCTTGATACATTCTCGTCATATTATAACTATATTCTGTCTCAGGTGACTTTCCAGACCTTCCTTGTTTAAAATGCTACATTGCCCCATTCGCAACCTGCTCCTGTTTCTCGGGCTCCGAATCTGCGACATTGCTGGGTCAGCAAACCGTTGGGAGTGACTATTCGGGAAGTGAGGACGCAACAACCATGTGTTGGGCTAGCAAAGAGTAAATGAGGAAGTTTAGAAGATACCAGACCCACAGAGTGCGCACACGCCGGCGATAAATTCAAGTCTCCGACAACTCCAGGTCATACCTACGGGGCAACCTATTTGCCCGGGGATCTCAGGTGGTTATGATCCCGATATGGGGCTGCAATAGACTCAGGATATCTAAAGCCGGATGAACTATATATGCGCATTGATGGCATTGGGCAGCTGGCGAGACTTGTCAGCTATAACCCTGTTGTTGCAACGTGAGATCATAGGGGTTCGTTACTAAAAATACATACCTGGCATGTATGCAGGTTACTTGGTATCACCACATCACATCATTTTATCACTTATGCCTGATCTAGATTGCAAGCGGCGGCATTCAACTAGGTGTACACATTCAAACTAGACGATACAGGCATCCCAATGCAACAACTACAGCCGTGATAGACGTGCATGATGCGTCTGGCTTTTAGTCTATAATATTGCTGATATAGAGCACTACTAGATTACTCTTGCCATCTTTTGTGCATTTGTTCCGGTTAAAACTTCATATACAACCTGGATCGGATATGGTACCGATGCAATCTAGAGCTAGGGACTGCGAATCTGAGGTCAGCCAGTGCCTGGGCTAGCGCTGACGTTGCAGTACAAGCCTACCTCACCCAGAGCTGGATATTATATTGTTGTTTAGCTTTACAGTCGGGGTAACAGTGAATCCGTCGTAATGTATTGTTATTTCAGCTATATATTCTGTACACCTCTGCCACCAATAAAGGTCCGATTGCCTTGCATAAGTCGAACCATCGCCGCACCCAGTGCAGTCCGCGGAGTGCGCGATCGGACTTTCTTTTCTGCTATCATTACTAGTTTCAGCAACTATAGCGACGATTCACTTCCGATTTGCCTCATATACCAGATATAATATAACAAAAGAGCTCTTCAACGTCGGAGGCTAGTACATCGGAGCGTGGCTGTTGTGGTGTGATACCGGACCCCAATCCCGGCCGCCATCAGATTTTATATGCTGTCAGAAGCGGAATGCGTTAATGACTTTGTTGACTTACGGGCTCGTGCCGACGGAAACTGATAAATCTTGGATGAGGATATTGAGACTGCGTCTAGCATACTTGTACACCTGCCTGGCTTTGGAACAGACGTTCTCAGGCGTTGACGGCTTACTAAGAAAACCACGTCTGGCACTGTTGTAAGCTATGTTTAACAATTCTTCAGCAAGCTTCTTCCGTTGTTGCCGTCGTGAAAGTAGATGTGCGCCACCGGCTGCAGACGTTCGAGTCGTGATAAAGTCTAAGATGCGATCAACTGTGGTGGCCGCCGTCTCCATAGCTTGATCACAAATGTCTAAACGTGATCTTTTGTCCCTCGAATCAGACAGCCCCAAACGATTCCATGCAGTGAGTGCTACATAGTCGCTGGATGGAATACTTCTCTCAAGCGCGTCAAGCGTCACACGTTCGACCAGAGGCCTAACTGCCATGAAAAACTCGTGGTGCAAGGCTCCTAAGTCTAGTTCCGGCATAAAACATACAAATCAGTCGCCGATATCATGCTCAGCATTTCCACCACATGTCCAGCATAACTTGCGTCAATAATGGCGAGCAAGTTGATAGTTTGGTAGGATACCAGTGAGTGCGAAAACTTCATAAGCAGACATGAGACGGTATTTTCTAGCATAACCTCTGTTGGCAAAGATGCCCGGCTTTCCTCTTAACGCACCGGCGATATAAGCCAAGGATGTAAGGTCTCCAGAGGCGGAGATACTACCCCGAAGACGGATGACGGGAGTGAGATCTCGTTCGGCGAGCTCAGCCTTGGCTTGAACTACTTCAAGTCTCACTGCCCCGCAAGAGGGAGTTGCGTCGAATAACGATAGAAACGCGAACCAACTGCTTTGGTAGCGAGTGTTTTCGAAGGGGGGTTTTTTTAGCGTTGCAGTACAGTCTTCTCCGCAGCCAGAGAGTCGGAGAATTTCGGCATTATGACGCTGAATAACACCTTTTTGGAGGTTAGTAACATCGTCAGGTCGCGCATTTGCGTTGCTACCTTTCCAGTGCCAACACCGTAGATATAACGGCCCTCGTAGAGGTAGCGTTTCAAGATCTCAAGGCTGCGAATCATTCTCTCAGCAAGAGCATCATAATTAGATATGGTGGGCTTCTTATTTATTTATAATTTACAATGTTAATATTTATATATACAAATTTTGTGGAATTTGAAGTAACATACTTCGCGACGGCAACAGCATCACCAAAGTACAGCGAGTTACTGTCTAAAAGTACGTCGGCACCACTATGATGTAGATTCTCTAACATTTTTCATGCTGATGCTGTCGTTTTGAGATGTGTCTTCGACTTCCCATGAGCACCATCAGCCGGCGCTCAAAAAGGACTGCTGATGTAAAGTCCTATAACTTGGTATATGATACAGAATACCCGTTATATAAGAGCTCTGATGCCATAACATCTATATTTGTCCCATCAGTACTCTATTTTGGCTACCTGCTATCTCCTTCTGTTGAATCATTAGGCACAAACTGTTTCTTTTCCCTCTTCTCTGCCTGTCGCTGGCGATCTACGTAATTCTGTGGGAGAAGATCTAATTTCTCCATGAACGGGGAAGTCAAGTCCCAACAATGTATTTCTAGATCTCTTTTTGACTACTGTCGCAGCTGTGGACGTCTTGCCTTCTATGGTCACCGCTTGCGACCGCTCATGGAAAGACATGGTGCCGTGAATGTGGAGATTGCAGGCTATTGGTCGATCTTTGTTACCAAACCTGCATACTTTGCAGAAACATTTCTTAAAGAAACGATCATTGCGAAAGCTACCCTTCGCAAGAAAGTGCCTTGGGGGTAATTGCATGTTATTTTGGTGAGAGTGCTATTACTTCCCATGGTGAAACGTGGGAAGTGATGCACAAAATTGTCCAACCGTCGATTAGTCGCCTGCTTGATGCAAACGCCATACGCCATACGCCATAGAGCACAGCAAATGATTTCAATTATCTCCGATGGAGAAAATAAACTATCTAAAGACAAAAAGTCACTGATTGCCTATGAGTTGGTGCAACAGTGGACCATCTCGGTTTGGGGCGACTAATTTCTCGATGTGGACTTCGGCAAGATGAGCAACAACTCTTCTACATTGGCACACTTATCTGCTAAACAAAGCCGAATGATATGAAAAGCTTTCCATCGCTGGTATTGTCTGAGTTTTCCATTCTAGCGAAATTCTATTGGGTATTTTAGAGTCACCAGTGGGTTTTTAACAATATTGATGAATTTGAAGAGCTACTGTTTAAGATGACGGAGCATCTCAATTCCGACGATGCCAAGGAATGTAACTGAACTAAGCTCATCTACCCACTAAAAGATGCGTACAATTTGAGGTAAATCTCTGATTTGAACGCTTGCAGTGAACCAAGACAGTGAAACTCTTCTGAGAAATGACATCAATGCCGAGTTGCCTGTTGGCTACGACGTCGCTAATCTCAAAGCTCTGCTAATAGTCTTGGCAGCTTATGTATCTGAAAGCTTGCGTATTCACTCCGTACTCGTATCCTCCAATCTTTCAGCTTACAAATGGACTCACCCTTGCACCCACTCCGATTGGAGACATTCCAATTCCCGCAAGAGTTTACATGGGTTGGAACGCCTTTGAAGTCCACAGGAATCCACAAGTCTGGGGATCTGACGCGAAGGCATTTTGTCCTAAGCGATGGGGCCACGATAGGAAGTAGATTCACAGGTTATGACGCACAGCACAGGTTAAAGGTAATTTTACCACTTTAATGTATATAAGCGTAAGGGCTTGGGGGTGGATTTCGCTGTGTCGCAAATCATGATTGAGATAATGGAAATGGTTAGACATTCTACGTGGGCCAAGGATCCAGGGCACCAGTTCCGAACTACAACTGCAAGTTTCTACAAGTCGATGGCAGCCAGCCCTATCGATGGCTTTCCTAGTATCCTAGGGACGGGGGGCGTTTCAGCTCCCCATAGCCATAGTTAACTTTTCAATCGGTCAATAAAATTCTGAGTGAGCAATGTTTTACCACCGATTCGGGGGGTATGGCAGTTACCAATTGAGGGTTTATATACGGAGTTAGAGCCAATTATATAGCCAAGACACGAGAAGAAAAACAATGTTTAATACGCATGTACCTAGTCCCCACCCTAATTCTTATACTGGAAGCGGCGGATAACAAAGAGACAATATTTGTCAGTAGGTACATACTTTTCAGGTACTTGATGTATTTTGGCTCTTAGTTTTGGACGAAGGATGCCTACGTACACAAGGGTACAATCCTGTTGGTTTAGCTCGAACTACGGCTTCTGGATGTAAGTCAATATTTGCTCCGCCACAGTTACAGGTACTTTGCTGTTTTCGACCAGCCATGTGTTTCTTACCTGTGACTGTGACATTGGACAATTTCAAGTGTAGGCAGCCAGCAAGCCAAAAAGGGAATCCGATTGGTCACGATTACTCAAGGATTTTCACATCTATACGCGTATGGACGACACTGATCCTGGATGACAATTTCTGCCCCAATATTTAGCTGCAGATTTTCCGGTAGCAGTCCTCATTTCTGCTGCAGAATGTACGCTATCTCGGCCAAGACGGGATGGCTGGGCCTATATACGAACATTTGCGAATCCGAATACGACTTTAAGCGGCGGTCTATCAAAGGATTTCGTAATTACGCGTATAAGTGCGGTGGCCTTATATCCTTGAACCTCGGCAGGTCTACGAAGTTATAATTATATAGATAAAGCCCGTACTCACATTCAGTGATCTTTACAATACACAGCTTAATGCTTTTTGTTGGTCGATTTGGCTGTCATCATCATGGGTGCGAAACAGAAAAACGTCCCTCCTACTACAGTGTCCCTGCTGAAGAAGAGGGAGAAGACGGCGGCATCAACTATACCAACCAAACTTACAGATGGCGCATCAGATGAATTCGAATTCGGCGGCTCTATTGGTGTTGCCTCATTGATGATAGGCTTTCCCTTGATAATGTGGTATATGTGGATAGGTGCAACCTATTATGACGGAAATCTACCTTACCCCGAAAGCAATCAGTCGTGGCTTGAATTTGGGCAGCACCTGTGCCAGCTAGTCTATTTGGGGGCATACCCAACTGCAAAAGCTTGGGCAACATTTTGGATATTCTTTATCATGGAAGCTGTCATGTATTGCTATATGCCCGGCGTGTCTAGCTATGGTCGACCTCTGAGACACGAAGCTGGCAAAAAGCTTCCTTATTACTGCTCTGCATATACCAGCTTTTATGCGACGTTGGCTATTGCTGCCGCGTTACATATTACTGGTCTATTCCCGTTGTACCCTCTAATTGACGAGTTTGGATCCATCATGACCGTCGCTATCCTGTCTGGATTTATCAACAGCTTCATCGTCTACTTCCAAGCCATTGTACGCGGACGAACACACAGGCTCACAGGATACCCCATATACGACTTTTTCATGGGCGCTGAATTGAATCCGCGCATTGGTATCCTAGACTTCAAAATGTTCTATGAAGTAAGGATTCCTTGGTTTATACTGTTCCTCATTACCTGTTCTGTGGGTGCTCGTCAGTATGAAACGTATGGTTACGTTTCTTCTGAGGTAATATTTCTGGCTGCCGCTCACTTTCTATATGCCAACGCTTGCGCCAAAGCTGAGCAAATGATTATTACAAGTTGGTAAGTTGACTGTGAACACTACAGAGATAGGGTGGTATCGTCTGACGCTATTCCAGGGACATGTACTTTGAGAAACTCGGCTTCCTCCTCACCTTTTGGAACTTGGCTGGTGTACCATTTACCTATTGTCACTGTGCCCTTTACCTAGCTAACCACCATCCATCTGAATACCGCTGGAATCCATTTGCTCTGACGCTTCTTAGTGCGGTATACCTTTTCATGTACTGGATGTGGGATAGTGCCAATGGCCAAAAGAATGCATTTCGCCATGAAGCAAAGGGACAACTCATGAAGCGCAATACCTTCCCACAGGTTCCATGGCAGTCCATCGATAATCCCAAGACTATTAAGACCGACACGGGCGATCAAATCTTGGTTGATGGATGGTTTGCCATTATCCGAAAGCCAAATTACGTTCCTGATATGTTCTTTTCTATGGCCTGGGGGCTAATTACCGGCTTCAAGTAAGCTGTCCTTGGGGTCAAACGGTCAGAAGGATTTAATTGACGACTGACATTCTCTTAATAGAAGCCCATTTCCCTGGTTTTATTTCGTCTTCTTCATGGTCATGATTATTCATCGAACAAGGCGGGATATCATGAGGTGCAGGAGGAAGTACGGCGAGGCCTGGACACGATACGAGAAACAGGTTCCGTATATTTTTATACCAGTAAGATTTGCAGAGGCAGTCTAGTAATTTTGGCGCGTTACTAACGGTATATGAAGTATGTGATATGATCGGAGACGATACATTCTTGTAGGAACTTAGCTACTACATCCTTTAGAGTGTAGCCTGACGACTGCTTTCACTGTCTTAGTGTATTGGGGATCTCGCCACGGACAAGCTATTATTCCTACCTCGAGATTACAAAACGCACGGTCACACGAGTTCTTCTGGCTCTCCAAATAGTGGCTAGTCATGCAACGACAGAGAGTCTATTGGTCTACAATAGTGCTGATATCGTTAAAATAAATATTTAATCCTCCTGTGGTAAAAAGAAAAGAAGAGAAAACCTTCTCGGTTTCCTTGGATGTAGCCCTTTTAAGGATCTTTGAAAAACACAATTTGCACCGTGATATCATCCCTCATATATCGGCTTGTGGGAGTGGGCACAGTCATGGCTCCGCAAAATAGCCCTCTCCTGCTCCCACCAAGCGCGTTCTTGACCAAACACACAGCCGCATTATCCAGATCTTCTA